TAGCTTTACCGCGGCAGTCCCTGAGTGTCACAAGTATTTCTTTCGATATAAAATGATACAGACCCCCAAATAAAATTATCAGAATTTAAGTAGCTTAATGAGTTGAACATTATTTAAAATACAGGAAAGTAAAACCCCCTTGTATAACAAATTAATTTGTTTTTACATCGTCAAACAATTTTAATAGACCTATCGTTTCTAAAAATGTTTTGACTTTCCATTCGTTTACTACGTTGTATGTAGGGTGTGTCAAAACGAAAGATTACGATTTTTTTTTAAATAGAATACCCGTATGTTACACCACAAATTACTTTTTAGTTTGTTTGGCATTCTTAAGCCTAAACTGACTTTTATTTACAATGGTTCATATTACTTGTAACGTCGAAGGAATAGAATTCATTAATTCTGACAAATGGATTACCAAAAGTTACATTTGCATTTTACCCTAAATAAGTCCATATTTTCAAAAGCCAATTAGAAAAATGTGAAAAAATTATGTCAATTTTCATGGTAAAACCGTCAAAATCTTGAGAAAAAATTCGTTTGGGAATAGAATGCCAAAAAAAAAAAAAATGAAAAAAGTAAAGAAATTAATTTATAAATTGGTGGTATAACACACAGGATATTTATTATATTTAAAAAAATCGGAATATCGTAACCTAAAGTTTAGACACACCCTAAGCATCACAGCAAATGATTATAAATGTTAAACATTTTTAGGAACGTTTAGTCTATTAAAATTATAAAACGATGTGAAAACAATCAAATCTGTAAGGCGTAACTACCTACAGGGTGTTTGGTTTAAAAAACTATCTGTTTGGTTTTCCCCTCATTTAGAGACTACCATGTATATTTAAGAATAATTGTAAAATATAGTCTTACAACTTTTATATTAAATATTTCTTCATATCTCCAATAATAAAATATCTATCGATCAATTACCCACTGATGGGGTACCCTGTAATATTAATTAAAACACTGTATAAAATGAACCAGTTCTTCTATCACACCCTGGTCTTTATAAGTTGAAAACTATTCTAGTGATAAATACAGTAATATCATGCCACTCTAAAATTGAAATAAATGTTATGTGAGCCATTTCATTATTCAGTCATGCTCTAACCCTACAAGTCCCTCTCTGTCTCATTTGGCCTTTGAGGCTCAACTTGTCCGATTATTATACATAATTAAACCCCTTAAGACCAAACCTAAGGGACGACTATGGCGGAGGTGATTTCGATGACTATTCGAGAAAGGACGAGATAATATTTCTGGTCTGTTCCAAATATTTCTAGTTTGGTGGAGGAGCTTCTAGACTCCACCAAACTTTAGAAATTTGTATATAAATATTGGTGGAAGAACACAGTGCAATCAGTTATTATATGGACAGTGAAGATAAATAGTAATTAGTAGATAGACAGTGGTGAATATAAATAGTGATCAGTTTAAAGACATTTGAAGTATATATAAATTAGAATAGTTGTGTTATAAAATAAATAAGTGTTTAAATAAATTATTAATAAATAAACTGTTGTTTTAAAGTAAACAAACATCACATAAAATGCAGGGTGTTCCATTCCAAAAAACATATTTTTACTTTCCTGGCAAAAACGTAACACCCTGTATATCCAAACATGTTTTTAAATTATATTTTTTTAAATCCACATAACTTTTATTTAAAACATGTGTCTATAACACAAATTGAAATATCAAGCAATTATGCACTAAAGAGACAGCCTGTATAGAACTACGACGAAGAGTTTACATCTTTTTTCATCCTTTCAGACTTCCTTTTAAATTACTCTTGATTGTTTTTGACTACCAGCCTTAAATGGTCCTTGGCTAATTGTATCACCATTTGGATACCTTACTTCTTTCGATTTATTAATTCCTCATTTATTCCACTTCCTAGATAGGCAGGCTCCCGAGAACTTATAGTCTCGGGTCACCCATTCATGAAGTCGATAAATTAATTTATAGGTACACCGTCTGCCAGCGGCCCCGTAATGTACTTCTTTGATATCAGTAGGTACTTGACATCCTGTAGAGCTTCTATATTCTTTTCTCTTTTTGTGTTAACTTCTGTTCGTATTTATAATAGCTATTCCCCAGATTAAATTTTTAAATTTTCATTGTGTATGGTCCGTGACGTTAATGAACGTCCAAACTTCTAAATGTTCATATTTATGGGCCAAAGCGTGCAGTTGGCATTAAAGCTTGGGCAGCGAAAGTGTTAAACAGATTGCTCCAAGTCTAACACAAAAAAAGACAATTAAACCCCAAAGAAATTAGAAAAAAAATATCTTAAAATAACCCTACTGCGCATCAGAATCATCTATGCTAACGAAACAGTGGGCAAAAGCTAGTAATACATATATTCTTGAACAGTGGTATTACTATGTATATAATTCTTGATTTAAGTAAACTATCCTATCCTTAGTAGGAACAATATGTGGCCTTCAGATCAGGTTGCGTCTGGTGCCTTACAAAATCAAGATCCGCCACAGGTAGATGTTGAGAAATAAGGATAATAAAACACACATTTAAATTCATTTATTATATTTATTGTCTTCATTTATTGAGAATGCGATTTTAACATATAATGAATTAATTACACTGCATTTTCAGGCATTTTCAAATTCCGAATACAGAGTTTTATTATTTTTTTCAAGTACAGTACAATATGTATTTGAGGAGTTAATCTAGAGAGAAACGATAAGCAATTATAAAATATGTTTTTTTTTTTAATAGCCTATACCTATTATGTATTGTTAATCACCATTGCTGATACGTTTAAGTTTCGTTTCTGAAATCACATTGTATACATTTTTTCTTATATTAAAAAAAAAAAATAATATTCCATGTAAGTATAAAAGAAAATTTACAATAGGTAGGTATCTAATCGGAACAAAAACGTATTCTGAATCATAATTACACACGAAACTTCGGTAATCAGGGAGAAAGGGCGGGTTACAAGTTTTTTATAAACAATATTTGGACCATCTCGTCTAGTTTATTCTTTATATAATAATTAGTATATGTGCTATCTTTTAAATTTTAACGATTTGGTGGAAAAAAATATCATTTGACAGAGTTATTCAGTAGGTTTGGTATTAATTGGAGACTACAAGAAAAGTATCTGTCAATTTATATACATAACTAAGAGTATTTTAATGGGTTGTTTACGGTAAGAAGTTTATATATAGAATACTGGCAGTATTTAAATTTACTCCCCAAAATACCTACAGACATTATTTTATAACTACTAGATCAAACGGTAGAAGCACATTCATTTACCAACAGTGTCAGAAAATTGAGTTTATTTTCCAAACATATCTTTTGTTTTGGATTCCTAACGAGTCTAGATTTGAAAGTAATTAAAATATAAAAGAAAACCTTAAACAGCAAACACAGAATTTTTCACCTGTCGTCTTCAATAATTTATTATTACTGTAATGTACCTATCCTTAATCAAACAGTTAAAGCACCACTTCGATTTTAACGAATACTAACAATATTTACAGAACTAGTGCAATACAAGTAATAAGGAAAGAAGTAATTTATACAAAAAAATGTTGCTCTAGTTTTATGGGAAAGCACGGTATAAAGGTTTCACCAATTTTTTGACAGGAACGTACAAATAGTGTTGGTGTAAATATTACGATTTGACTAGGTATATTTGAAAATTTTATAGAAGAAATACCTAAAGCTTTCGTTGTATTAAAATATATACAGGCTGACCAGTTTACATTTACGATTTGAAAGTAATTTCCGATAAAAAGAAAGTATTTGATTAGAAATTTAAAATACCTAGCTTCGGAAGTAATCAGTAACGGAGTTATAGGGGTTCGCTGTCATAACAAATAGTACTATTTGAAACTAATATTTGACATTTTTTTTGATTTAATTTGATTGATGTTTGACAATAAAATAATATTATGGTAGCATTAGCCAAATCTGCAGATTCTTATTTCTATAATCAGTAAAAAAATTCAGAGGGAAATTTGGAAAACAACAATATCTAAAACTATAACAAGTCAATAAAGCTGATATTAACGTACTAGATTTTTTGCTTGATAAACGAAACTAAAATATAAAAAACATTAAAACGGTATTTTTAAATATCTAACTAATTATGCTATCAAAAAGTGAGTCAGTGGCGTACATATTACATAAAATAAATTAAAATATTAACATCATGTACCTATTTTTGAAACAAAGCATTTACGGACCCATATTTATTTTTGGGTAAAGAATTACCCCATGAGTAATGGCACATCCTGTATATTGGCAAGATAAGAAAAAAGTTTTTCGTGTTCAATTTTTAAATACCCTGCATAGTCACGTATTTTTTTTTTTTTTCATTTATTAAAGGAGAATTTTTGAATAAAGTCATTAAACTTCAAATTTACCAATAGAAGTAATACGTTTTAAAGGAACCATCGTCAGATTGATATATTTATATTTTTAATAGAAATAAGATATGGGAACATTGGTAATTATACTTATAGCAAATTTGAAATAGGTACGTAATAAGACCAAAACCTACGAGAAACTCTTCAAAATTAAAATATTTTATCCCACAAATTACGCCAAAATATCGAATAGCACACGGTATATGTAAAATGGCACGATATTTATTTTTATTTTACTATGATACAATATGAAAACATAAAAAAACAGTACAAAAAAACTAACGACCAGAACAAAAAATGGCAGTTTCTGAAGAAGAGAATATAAGTAATACAAAAATGTACAATGGCTGTATTTCAATTAACTTAAAGCTTTTTTTATCAACATTAACACAGGAAGCAAAAAAATAAAGAAATACAGCTAATGTTGGTGTAGCGAACAATATTTTTTTGAAATGATTCGCTCCATACCAACATTACGCAATCAATGAACACAAGAAGTGAACACTTAATGGGTTTTTTATAATTTACAAAAATTAAGTATTGACTGACAGCGACTGCGTTCATCCTATCCTAAGTTTATAATCTTCAATGTACCAGATCATTGTACCAAATATCTTGGTCAAAGCTGAAACAAAAAATAAAATTTATTAATACACACAATTTTCTACATTTAAAATTTTTTAAAAAAGAATAAATTTAAAAAAGTGGAACTTAACACAGATATACAGTGATTCATTGGGAATCCTGAATACGTTTATTGTGAATGAAGGCCACCGAGAAAGAAAGAAAGATGTTTTCTATGTGAATGGGACAGTAGAGCAAGAGATGACCACTGGACCAAAAAAAATGGCCACCAAGAAAAAATTTAACGCCTGGCTCCAAAAACGTAATTCGGGAAAGCCTAGTTGATCCCGCGAAAATTTTATTATCCCCTCTACATATAAAATTGGAACTGATGAAACAATCTGTCAAAGCTCTAGACAAAAATGGCGGTTGCTTTAAGTACTTGTGTGAAACATTTCCGGGTCTCCCTGAAACTAAATTAAAAGAAGGCATCTTTGTTGGGCCACAAATAAGAAGGTTGATGAAAACTAATGAAATTGAGACGGTTATGCAGGAAGACGAAAAAGAAGCATGGACGGCTTTTAAACAAGTTCTAGGAAACTACAAAGACCCTGAATTTGAAAGTATTGTTGAAAACATGTTGGACAAATTTAGAAAGTTAGGCTGTAACATAAGCTTAAAAATTCATTTTCTACATGCTCATCTTGACTATTATCCGGCGATGTCAGTGAAGACAAGGCGAGCGCTTTCACCAGGACATAAAAGAGATGGAACAGCGATATCAAGGGCGCTGGGATATCAAAATGATGGCCGACTACTATTGGATGCTTAAAAGGGACCGTCCTACCGCAGAATATGCACGAAAAACAACAAAAAGAAGCTTTTCCGAAAATAGAGAAAGATTTTTCAAGAAAACAAAGGATTAATGTATGTTATTTTTTAACTACTTCTCCGGTTTTATTATTTGTTTTCTTGGTTTATTATTTTCTTTTTTATCCCAAGTATCTATAAATATATTTTTACTTTTTGCATTCTTGTAGTATTTTGTTTAAAAACCTTACGTGATAGAAAAAAAACTAAAAGCAGATTTGAAATTAGCGTCACTGAAATACCCAATTTCAGTTAAAAAGTTCAATTCACATTTTACAGAGTATTTAAACGCAGGCCTGTGTAATTGTCATTAAATTATGTGATGTGGGTTTTATTCAATGGGGTCGTAGAAAAAGTATAGCGTGCTTCTCGTGAATTAGTAATTATAGATAAAAGATGGCGATGTTCAAAATAGATTAGTCCCACTTTTATTTTAACTATAAAAAAAAAATCATATTTTCTGACATCTTACCTGGCTTTAGCAGATATCCACGGACAATGCAACATTAGTAAAAAAGCATCAGTCTATTTTATATATTATAAAGGTAATAAAATATTTATAACGTTAGCTTATTCTTATATACATACAATACTGATTATCACAAATTAACATAACCCAACGTTTCTGTAATCGAAAAACTTACTGCACGGGACCATCGATTCAATACTTCTCTTTTTCTTAAGTAGTTAGTACGAATCTGTCATCTTTATCATACTGTAACTTATAAATTATGACAGTAACGAATTTTTGATCCACAAATAATATTTCTGGAGTAGGCCATAAGCGATTGAGATAGAAATAGGAGTCATGTTATGGCTCCATTGAGTCTATCTCGATGCATGGTTCTCAATGAAATTAAAACTATCATTAAACAAAAAGAAGAAATAAAAACTTTCACATGGCATACTTTAGAATTTTTTTTATCGCCATTTTATTTGTCTAAAGTAGGCCATTATCGACAAAGACAAAGATATGAGCATTTCTGTGATAACAACGCGCGGCTCTAAATTAAATCCAAACTGAATTGAATGCTCCGATGTACGTAAATTCTTCCAAGGCCTACTTTAGAAACATATTTTGCTATTATTGTGACGTCAGTAAAACAAAGGTATACAAAATATTCTGTTATTGATTTTGACATAAAAGTTATTATCTTTTTTAGTTTTTATTCTCTTTTATTTTAGCACAACTGTTACAAATTAAAAAAAATACATATCAACTACTACTGCTGTTTTCGGCTTCGATATCCGAAGAGCCGAAACAACACGATTACTTGGCTAGGCGATGTTTTGACCGTATCCAGAATCAATTGGTATGGCATTATAAGTTTTTTTTATTACATATTATTTGTTCAAAGTAAAAAATAAGTAGTTTAAAGAAAATTAATAAAATTATTTTTATTGTAATTATTGCAGTGATGTGCTTTTAGATGAATACAACCTAGAAAATAATAGCCTCTAATTTCATAGAATAGATATTATTTTAAAACATAAAATTACTAAAATGAAATAATAAAAGATATAAAACTAGGTATTTAGTTTGTAAACAATTTTGTTTGGCTTTGTTTACGCCGCTTTATTTTAAATTACTGTATTAAAAATCCGAACAATAGACTCCATTAGTGTGACGTTATAAGGTCCCCGAAAATAGAATCCGATTCGTGTTTTTGTAGGCTTTATGTTTTCTGTGAAAATAATTCTGAAGCTTTTAAGTTCGCGAGATTAAAATATATTTAAATATTATGGAGTTCTCAATTGAATAAAATGTGAAGCTATATTTTCTCAATATTTATTTCGATACAGTTCATAAGATTCAATTTATTTGAGGTTCTAAAATTGAATACATTTTAAAACGCCTTGGATGATAAGGTTGCATATATTCAGGGACATTTTGATAATTCTGACGTAATCACTAATATATCGTGGGCTTACTGCCAAAAGTGACCAAGTCAAATTTTATGTGATTTGATTTAATATGACCAAGTCACTTATTAAAGATAGATCAACAAAAAAAGTCACCCAAGTCATATTTACACTGTCTGAAAGTACTAAATAAACTCAATCAATATAACTTGGCCATTTTTTATTTGGTAGATCTGACTTTACCAAGAGATTTGGTCATATTAACTCAAATCATATAAATTTGACTTGGTCACTTTTGGCAGTAAGCCCACTTTATCTAAAATCATTGAAAGACTTTTGTAAATGATTGAATTCCTAACAAAACATTAAATTTTATCTACTTGTCAATTTGGTATTCAAGCTTTGAAGAAAACACAAGGTGCTATGTTCTCTTTTTTAGAATATGACTACTCTAACTTAAATCAGGGTGAAATGTGAGCATCAGTCTTCTATGATTTTTCAGTGGGTGAGTTTTAAAGAACTAAATCGATTATATGGAATTACTAAAGAATTGGAGATGCCGGTCGTTGTTTTGGTGTGTGTCTTTTCTAACTAATACGAATTATAACCCCACTTTTAAAGTTTATTATATTTGCTGGTGTTAAATCTGTGTTTTTTTGGAACCAGATTTTTTACTAAAAAAAAAAAAAATAAGAAAATCTTTAAGAACATTTTGTAATTTTTTTCTATAACCTACGATTTTCATGTGGTTATATTTCATATATTTAGATAAAGACAATTGTCAATTTTTGGGGAAGGGGATATTTTTAAACGACCTATGAAACTAATATTAATCGTCAAAATCATCACTTCTAATATCTATTGTATTCAATTAACAACAGATTTGTACTGAGCTCTTAAGAAATAAATTATAGCGAATCAATATATTAACGCAGCAAAATTCTTCGATTACAGCAACCAAGGGCACAACAAAATGTATACTTTCTCGTTTATTCTTCTTATACTATAAAAATCTTAAACGTAACAATAAAAATTTTGATATGATATGATACATCTGCAACGAACGTAACAAAAATACCTATTGTCTAGCACACAAGTTTTATTGCAATTTATTACGTTCTAGAAAACATACGCTGATGTCAGACGGACGTTAAACAATATAAATAAATGACATAACTGCTGTATAAAAAGCAATAAGTTTGTGTGCTTTGTATACGTTGAGCTTTGTTGGAAGGTTTGGGATGGATTATATTTACAGGAGGGGGTTCTACTATCTCATCGAATTGGTCGCTATCAGCGAAGATGAGAGAGGACGGAATCCATCGCAGTCTATGATTGGCAGCGTGCAAACGTCATATTATTATTTCTAATATTAAACGAAAGAGTAATAAAAACAACTTACCTAGAACATGGCTTTACGTTCAAGCCATTTATAGCCTTTAATCCTAAATCTAATCTTTGGGAATTTTGTAATTCGAATCCGTGGATGCATCCAATAAAACCTTGCGAATACCTGTTGCCCGTCATTCTGGAAATGTTCGGAACGCCACCTATATAGATGTTGCCTTCGGTGTCGAGCGTCGTAGCGACGCCTGGTGCTTCTTCTTTCTCTATCCAACTGTTATCGATCTCTATTGAACCTCTGTTGCCGTCGCGTTTTAGTATCACGAGATGTCTGTCGCCGTCGTTGATTGGCACTTGGCGGTTCTTGATCAGTGCTGGTCCGTTGCCAAGGTCGAAACTGTATTCAAGGTACCCATCTTGTACTGAAAAAAAAGTTCTGTGTCAGATAAATTCACTATCTAAAAACCAAATTTGAAAATTCTTCAACTCTGTTTTAAGCGACTTGGTTTTTACTTTAGTCAAACTTTTGTTTCACTATTTGGTAAATAAAATTATTTACAAAAAATTGTAACAAACAAAGTCAAAGTTTAATACCATTTCTTTAAATTAAATATTTTTTACTTACTTGCTAATGCAATATAGTCATGTCCAATGCCGTCAACGTCCGGAGCATGTCCGTGCCAAAATATGAGTCCGTTCGATTGGTTTGTGGATAATTCCAATGCAATGAGATCATGCTGACCTCCGTTGTGCGATAATAGCTCTTTGTTAAATTCCAAATAACCGTTTCCTTCAAAATGAGCGTCATTTCTCAATTCGGCAACTGGAAAAAAAGGTAAGGGTAACTAATTATGCCAATTATAAATGTTTGTTTTCTTACCTTGATCACATCCACGTCCAGCAAAACCAAGAGGGCAATCACAAACAAACAAGGAATTGTTCAATCTACAAACACCTTTGTTTTGGCAAGGATTTGGATCGCAAACGTTTTCAGAGGTTTCGCAATTTCTACCAGCGAATCCTGGCGCGCACGCGCATTGGTACTCGTTCGGCGACAGCGGATAACATTGTCCGTTGTTCTGGCAGGGGTTGTTCGAGCAGCTGATTCCTTTAAACGGTCGATCTGTGTTGTCGTTGAAAACGCTGTTGTCTTCTTCGGATCCATCACTGCAATCTCTAACGTTGGCCGAGTCAGTTATGTTTTGAATCATGTTTATGTCAACGCCGGCTAAGTTTATCTGAAAAGTTAAAGTAATAACGATAGTTTGTTTGCAAATATTAACTGTGTTTATTTAGATTTAACTTACATCTCCAATACATCCATGGAAACCGGTAAATACTTGAACACCATCATTGATTCTGATGTGCTGTTTGTCGTAGCCACCGATGAAGAGCGGCGTTTGAAGATTAATGGTCTTGTAATTTCCTGGTAGCCGTCCAACAGCTGGGGCCTGTCCATCTACGATGAGTTTACCCTCACTTAGAGATCTTGTCGCTGTCAGCACGTGCCACTCTCCTGGACGCAAGTCGCTTTCGTCTCTAATAACTGTAACACCTGTAACAGAAAATTAGATACCATTTTAGAACAGTTTCAGTAATAATATATAAACCTTACCGTTTCCAGCATCAAATCTAAACTCTAAATGTCCATCTCTGATCGCTAAACTAATGAAGTTACCAAATCCTTCTTCGCTTTCCGAACTGTAGAGCAATAGGCCGTCTTCAAGGGTTTTGGGTTTGACTTTTAAGGTGAGTTTCAGTTTTCTAGCTGGTTTGGGCGTCGGATAAGCTATGTATGCATCGTTTTGGAAGGCTGGTTCCACTACGTTGATTTCCTTTTCACATCTACGCCCAGCGTGACCAAGAGGACATTGACATTCGAATCCGTTGTCTGTATCAACGCATCTGCCGATACCACATGCGTCTAAAACCATATATATAATAATATTCAATTGAACAAGAAATAATTAAGAACGGAGATTATATAATTATTTAGACTAGATTTTTTTAAAGCTCTCAGAAAGGTAGAAAGTAAAAGAAAAATGATAAATTACTTACGTGGTGAACATGCTTCTCCCTTCAATTTGTTACAAGTCGGTCCACTGTATCCTGACGGACAGATACACATGTATCCCTCTTTGGACAAAGCTTCTTGGCAAGCACCTTGGTTCTGGCACTTATTATCGCTGCAAGATTCGCACGTCGTTATTCCAGTCTTGTTCAAAGCTTCTCTAAAGAGGTCCAAGTGAGCGTGGCCAATTTTGAAGCGACTGATGCATCCTACGAAACCTTGATACGCTACATAACCATTGACTTCTGGTGAGATACCGGTTGGACTCGGTATGCCTCCCAAGTATAGTGGTTCTGTGAGATCAAGCCCGGTATATTTGCCATCGGATATCGCTGTAAACGGTCCGTCACCATCGACGTACATGGTTACTTTCCTTCTGTTTCTGGATACTTTTACGGTATGCCAGTCGCCAATAGTGAGAGGTCGAGAGGATTTTACAACAGTAGTACCCATTCCCAAATTGTATTTAAATTCTGGTACGCTATCGATCAAAGACAATGATATAAAGTCGCCGCTAATATCGTTTCCTTTGTTTCCGTTGTAGAGGATAAGACCGGTGTCTTGTTGTGGTTTGAAAGATATTTCGAAGTTGAATTGTATGTATGAGTCTGCTAACGTCGGAAGGGTAATGTAACTGTTAGGAGCCTGCGTGAAGTATGGTACAATGCCGGTGACGACCAAGATTACTGGAACGTCGATAGTCTTGGCACCGTTGCTTGCCGAACACGTGTATGCTCCAGCGTCCGATCCATCAATGTCGTTCAGTTGAATCGTTTGCTGAATATCAAAAACAATTCAACATTTAGCTCAATTGCAGTCTAAAACACACAGAGAAGAATACTTACAGCAAATTCATCGACATCTTTTGGTAACTCTCCTCCTTGTTTGCTCCATACGTATTGGGTTGGTTCGAAATCAGTTTTACATTCCAAAACGACTGTTGATCCTCTTTGGGCTTCTTTTACTTGTAGAGGTGGTTCGTCCTTGTATTGATCATCTAGAAAAGGGTATTAAAATTGATATTTTTAGTATAGTAGTCCTCGCAATTTAACCATTTTTGGAAGAGATTACAGCCATAAATTATTTTACTACTGACAGTTACTCAGGGACCCTTTAAGATACTTACAATCTCATCTTTAAAAATACTCTAATAATTTTCTGTACTATTGTCGCCTTCGGTTACCGTCAAACGGTTTTGAAAACTAACGTAAACAGAATATGTAATATTTTAACATTGTTTTGAAAACACTGTTGCTACTAGTTTACAAATTTTAACTTTCTTAAACCTAAAAGTGTTAGCAGAAATATTATATCACGTCACAATTTCTTCCTGCAGTTAAATGTTTTTTTTTTCAACTACCCAACGTGACGACAGTTTATTGTTTATTCATTCGCTTCAAACTACAATTATTGGTTTGTTTCATAATTAATTCCAAAAACATATCATTTATTTAAAAATTATTTAATAATATAAATACATAAAAGTAATTTATTATTGTTGTACATTAAGAAGCTCTCTGGACGACTAATTGATTCATGTATGAACTTGTCAGTTTGCACCGCTTGAAGTAGTCGTAACTAAATTATTGCTCAATATTTTGCAATAAGTCTTTGCAGACTTATGCAACAACCCAATATCTTGTTTCGGATTGATTTAAAATGTCGAGTAGAAAGTGTAAACAAAATTCTGATAATTTTGTTATGTTTGTGGGCAGTTTATATTTTCAAAAAAGAAAAGACCCTTTGTAGATTCATTAAAAAGTGTATATCTTCATTATTTTGGATTTTCAGTCGACTAGAAAGTGTAAACAAAGTTCTGATCGTTTTTAATATGTTTAAGGACGGTTTATATTTTCAAAAAAGAGAATGGGAATAACCATGTCATTAAAGATTCATTTTTTGCACTCACATCTGAGTTTTTTTCCTAAAAACTTAGGAAGTATGAGTGTGGAACAAGGGGAATGTTTCCACCAAGATTTAAAGGTTTTTAAAGAACGACATCAAGGATTTTGGGATGACAACATGTTAGGGGATTACTTTTGGTCCATTATAAGAGAAACTGATTCAAATAAATATAAAAAAATGCAAAAATTAATCTTTTTTTTTTTAGTATTAATACCAAAATTATGTAAACCAGTTAAGTAAATAAATATTTCTTAAACCAGACGTGACAGAATTTTTTATTATTTTTTTTTCTGGATAATTCTACTTAAATAAACAATAAAATAACAAGCTGGGGTATAAAACTAGTGTAACTTCTACACTATAAAGTAGTAAAAACTTTTTTTTATAAATTATTACATAAAAATAGGTTCAAAAATGAATTTATTACTATTACTATAGTAAATAATACTGTTTAAGTACCTTTTGAGTACTGTTTAAATTTGTAATGCAAATGTGGTAAACTTAAGGATTACAGATTTTTTTGTTAGAACTATCTAAAAAAAATAAAAGTTTGCTTACCAATAACATTGAGATTGTAGTCTTTATATTGAACGCCTTGTCTTCCATTAGCTTCACATCTGTATACACCAGCATTGTCTGTGACAAGGTTAACGATTCTTAAAGTACCACCCACATTTTGTACGTTGCTTGATAGAGGACCAGAAATTTTTGACCAAACAGTTATAGCACCGCGTTCAGAAGATTGACAGTTTATTTCGATATTTTCACCTGCATAGTGATCGGCTTCTGGTGGAGATATGTAAAGGGTTGGAGGTGGTAGATAAGGTCTTGCAGTGGATGGAGATGGACCTAAAATATTAAATCAGAACGATTTATTATCGGTTGTTTAATATAATCAGTTAGTAAGGAAATTTACAGATTTAAAAGTGTAGAGACGAAAAATATGGTTTAATAGATACATAAAATTTAAAATTAGTAAAACATAAATAGCAATTATTACGTTGAAGATTCTAACAATACATTTTCTGCGATAAGTTATTGATACATGAAATTAATGTGTCTACCTCAATAGTATACTTGAATTTTTGATTATTGTTCCATAAAATATTTTATACGGTTGTTACAACTAGTAAATTTATATTTCTTTAGTTTCAGTTAAATGAGTTGGTAGTATTAATTGAAGCAGTAAATGAAATTTTCTGCTTAGCTCTAAAAAAGTTGGGAAGCTGATAACTACCTCAAAAAATAGATATATATCAAAAGCACTTTCAGATTGTTTCAGACGAAAAAAAGGTATATATGGAAAAACTATGGAAAATGTTGGCTTTTACTCGATTTTATTCCACTTTTAATGATTGTAGAACTTTAAGCTGTGATAGTATAATTACCTTTGTTATCTTGTTGGAAAATATTAACTTTACTTTTATGAATACTTGCAAAAGTATATAAAAAATATTTTGTGGAACAACGAAAATGACAGCGTACAATTATTTTGATTTAGTTAAACAAGCACTAAAAGAGAAATGTAAAAACACAAGTAGATAGTCTAAATTTTGAATAGCGAAGTATTTTCCATCCCCAGAAACAAACATCATCTACGCTTTGGAGGCTTGACATCACGAAGAGCTAGATAGGCAACGAAGAGGCTATGTAGTAAACAACTAAGATAAAGCTCTTGTAAACATTGCACAAATAAATCTAGCCGTCCAGTCTAATGCTAATATTTTTTGTATCTAAATTATACCTCGAATTAATGACAAGATGATGACATTTATTGCAGATGACATTTAATGAGGATGATATTTGATGAAGATGATGATATTAAGATGATATTTAATGAAAATGATTTTTACTGAAGATGCTATTTAATGAAGATGATATATAATGAACAAGACATTTATTTAATGAGGATAATATTTAAGGAAGGTGAAATTTTTACACCGATCTGTGTCTAGTACTAGTATTAAATTTCCGCTATGTAAGTATAAATTTATGTTACGTGTAGCCTGGTCAACTAGATGTACTTAGACAATGTCGGTAATAACAAACCCCGTCGAGTCCTTGTGGAACATTCCAATTCGTCAGTGTTGTCTTCGCAATCATTGTAGTCATCGCATATTAGATTTTTCGGTATGCATTTTCCATTTTTACATGACCACCATCCTGGACGACAAGTTTGTTGACGTGCTGTCGTACATGCAATTGTGCAACGTTAAACATATTCAAATGGGTTCCTAACTACTACACTTTTACGACACTATTCCATAACGTACCATTCTTAAGACATACAAGGTAACTAGTTTTTGAATAAGGCAAAAGTCATTTAAATGTCGAAGATATTACACAAAACACAGTAAATTTATCACATTATTGAAATTTATGATTTGGTATTGATCGCAAACAAGTATTAGAAATTAAAAATTTAAAAAACCGACTTCAAAAACGTGCAGATGCCGTCACCACATCTTAACCAATTTTACATAGGACAACCCTTGAGGTACCCCCTTACTAACAAAAAAAGAATCATAGAAATCGGACAAGATGGTAAAGCATTATCGCTAAACATACATAAAAAATGAAGAGTTTGAAGATTTTCCCATGGATCCAATTATTAGATTTTAACCAAATTTATATGGGACCACCCCTGAAGTACCCTCTTTCTATCAAAAAAAGAATCTTTGAAATCGGACACTGTGTTAAAGAATAATCGCTGAACATACATAAAAAAAAAAAAAAAATATCGCGACGAATTGATAACCTCCTCCTTTTTTTTGAAGTCGGTTAAAAATAAAAAAAAAACAAATTAACTGATAGACCAGAGAAATGAAAATGAAAAGCAAAGGTAAATAAAACAAAACTGATGACAGTAAATGAAAGGCAAATAGATATCCAAAATAACAAAGTTATTAAATGCTAGAACACAATACATATTAGAATATGAATATTTGGGAAGTATATTGACAGAAGATTGAAAAATAGAATCAGAAATAATAAACAAAGCGAACAAATCAATTAAATTATACTATTCAATAAACAAACAATACTGGGACATAAAGATATCGAAATTGAGTTAAAAATGAAAATCCACAATACTAAGCTCTGCTAGTGAAAGCTGAGTAATGCACAAGAAAGGTGAAAACATTGAAGAAAAATGAATAAGAAAAATAGCAGGTAAGATCAAGTGAAAAAATAATGATATTGGAAAAATAAAACAAAAATCAATAATAAAAAAATAAAACAGAAACAACTAAAATAGTATTGACAGTTGTCAAGAGTCAATAATGATAAAGAATAAAGTCAGCTAAGAAACATAAAGGACCAATAAGAAAATGAATATACAAAGTTAAAGAAATAGAAATGGAAAAATGAAAGACATTAAGTGAAATGGCAAGAAACAGAAAGGCCTGAAAAAAGAAGGAGAAATCAAAATATTTAAGTAAAGAAAAAATTTCTTTCACTCATTAAATTTAAAACATGTTTTTCACTTAGACAAGTTTTAGATGTGGTAAATTATGGAATAGCGTATAGTTTATAAACACAAAAATGTACAGTTACAGTGTTTTTGGATGTAGTTATGAAATGACTTTACAAAGTTGTTTTTCTTCAATCTTTGCTAGATAATAGTGAACTAACTAGGGGAGTAAGATTAATAAATGGTGCAGAAAAAATTGGTAAGTTGTGGTTTATAAAATAAACCTCATATAAATCATTTAATTATTACAGTAAGTAGTAATTTTGCATACGGGCGTGTTACGTACACTGGGTCGAACGCATAAAACGTAGTACATGCTAATGCTTCAAGTATGTACAACATTTCAGAAGTTTCTACTACCCTAACGAAGCATTTACTACTCTCCGTAGCATATCTTACTATTTACTTCTTACATAGAAAAGGTACTACGCTGTAGAAGTATTTAGTAGTTTATAGCTCAAGTAGAAATTTGAAAGGCTTTTGCTAGTTCTTCCACTTTATACACAAATTGACAGGTTTGCGGCGGATCTCACCGAAGTGGACGCGATACATTGGCGTACAAAATTATTTTATAGATGTTAATAACAATTTCGAGTAAATAGTTTAATAAATTGTAAATAGCTGTTGAAATTTTGTAAAATTATGATTTAAATATTACTCCAGTATTTGCGTGCTGTATAATATTACCTTTAGCTGGAAAAATTTGATATTTGGATTTGATGTATTTTTAACTGCTCTTTTAGATTTTTTTATATTGCCACCTCGTAATTTTGCCGCCGTCGGCGCCATATTGTATTAAATTGTGGAAAAAGAAGGTTTTTTAAAGACATCTTGTTACTAGTTGCTTTTACGGTAAAAAAGACTCCAGTACTTATTGACATAAGTTCTTTCATTGCAGGAAAGGCGAATGTTGGGAAAACCAATCCATTAATTTTTTTACGACATTGTTATCACGATTAATCCGGGAACTTCCCAAGTCAACATGTTGTTCCGAAGTTCTTCTAAACTCTAAATTTCAAAAATTTTCAACCACGTCACAAATATTGTGCAAGAATGACATTTCCATAGTCCACCTAGAAAGTACGCTCTCCTGTACTACCCGCCCACGTGTTAGTCCACCTACGGTTTTCATCGTTTGCATTAATTATTTCTCAATAACCATGTCTGACCATGTGCCACACAAAAATTTGTCAGAACGTTTAATTGTGAAGTGCCCTCCATCTGTAAAAGACCTGCATTCTGTAGGATTCATCTTTTCTTTTAAACTATACATATCCTGTAAATATAAATGGCCACATTTAGCGTACAAGAAATGATCAACGGCATAAAAATAGGGAAACATTTGCTGGATAATATTAAGATGAAGGTTCCAGTTTCCGCTACTGTCGGCTTCAATAAATTGTTTCATAACTGAAACCATGCGAAAGTAATAAACCCATAATTTAGCAGTTGGACCACGTTACTAGATGATTTTCAAATTTTGAGGCTAATTCTTTGACGCATTCTTCTTGGTCTGCTCCAAGTATTAACGACTTGTCGAAATCGCATAGAATTGCTTCTAGTCTTGCGTATTGGTCTGATGATAAATTAATTTCCTGCATGATTAATTTTGCAAGATGGACACATGTGCTCTGCACGAGAGTATGCATAAGCTGCATTGGGATTCTTATATTTCAATAAGGCACGTGTTGAGACGACTATCTTCGTTCCACAGAATGCAATTCTTATGTAATGTCTCTTTCTATTTGATTCGTTACGTGTCGAGTTCGCACATAAGAATCCACTACCATTCATAATATACCCTAGGGCTCCCATGAACGACATCAATGAATGTAAGCCACCTAATTATATAACGATATTTTTCAGTTTTGCTTCCATACCACTAGAACAATTTGTTTTGCTTTATAATACAGCGGCTAATCAAAAGTGATGAAATATATTTGCTGATTTAATAACTTATCTCAGAGGCTGTTGCTAAAACAGAAAAAATCGTATCGGAGTTAGTCGGTGATGTATTAATGAAAGGCAAACAAGCTATAAAAGATTTCTGAGATGAATGGATTACTGTTACTTCTTCCATAAATCCATTCTATCCAGGTATATTGGGCCAATCAACCCATCAGATCTGAAGTTGCCGATATTATTGTATTTACGACTGAATAAATAGTACGGAGATCTATAATAGGAATTCCCTGTAGACTGGAAAAGTTTATCTTCTCCTCGTCTCACACAAATTCTAACGGCATTTTTGTGAGACGAGGAATATTCTGATCAGAAGCAATGACACTTGCGGGCGTTATACCATGGATGGCTGCCATGGCGTCAAAAGTATTTCTGCCATCCAGGGTTTGAATATTAAAGTCCACATTGTCGAAAATGAACTGTGAAAAGGCACTCCCGTCAATACCCAAAAGAGGGCGCATCAAAGCCAAAACTTTAAAAAGTGTTGCTTCCGTGTACGAGGAACAAAATCCTAGTGAAGCCAAGGTGTCAATCAGCTTACGAGATCCGTATCCAACTTTTAGATTCGCGCGGTAGGCTCAACGAATAAAATTCGTATTGCTTTGCACGCTGCGTACTTGCTCAACTTTTTATGAGAAAATTATGTAGTTTAATTTACTACTCAACCATTTTACTGCAAAAGCAACGAGTAACGAGATATCTTGAAAAATTATTTTTTTTACAATTTATTGCAATATGATGGCAACAGCGGCAAAGATACGAGGTGGCAAAATAAAAATTCGGAAAATGCAGCTGAAAATACGTAGAATCACAAAATATTAAAACTTCCGTAGTTACTATATTATAATACATGTTTAATAATTATTTATAGTCCATAAATACATGCGATTGTCCAGTTCCGCCGGTAACAATTTAAAATTACTTATTCTATGAAACGACACTGGCAGGTAAACATTACTGCGAAATTCTGGAAGCCGTCCGACGTGGTTTGACGTTTACCTCCTCTCTACCTACCAAAAGCCTTTTCAACTTCTACTTGCGCTATAGCACAGTTTATTGCTAAAGAATCAGTTAGCTCACTCGGACCAGTTGTTCCAAAATAACATCCTTTACAGGGATACAAATTCAGGATGCGCAGAAGACTGCTGATTGAATAAAGGCGGTTGTCATAAATTGTATTGGTTATGATTTGATTCTGTATGCGCCTGGGATACAAATCCGAGTTGCGCAGTGTATAAACTGGAACATTGAGATCAAAAGTGCCGACGCAGAGTGAGCGAACTGATTCTTTAGCTATAAACTGTGGCTATAATAGCTTTTACTAGTTTTACTCCAGTTCAAGTGAAGTTGGTGTTTGAGCAACTTCGGCCACCGCAAATTAAGTGTTATTTTTTTTTGAAAAAGAGCAGCTTTTATGAATGTGCGTCGTAGAAAAGTATATAAACAAAGAAGGACATACAATGAAGATATATATCGTAAATTGTTTAGGTAATTATTGTAAATTGTGCAATTTTATGTCTAATTTGTATAAATTCAAGTTACTTTCATCATTTAGTATTTCAGGTTCAACAGGGAAAATGTTGAATAGCTTGCAAATTATTTTCTTGATGATCATGATGATCCCGTAAAAACACGAGGTGGAGCCTGGTCACCCACTAGGAAAATGGAAATCTTTTTGAGAAGCTTAGGTGATTAAAGTAAAGTATTTGTAAAATTTGGAAAATGTAAATAACGTTTTTTACAGGAGATCCTGGATTTCAGCAAGGAGTTGGTGTTGATATAGATGTGAACCAAAGTACTGTTTCTAGAACCTTGGTAACTGTATCTGAAGCAATTTACTCGAAAAGAAATAACTGGATAACATTTCCTAACACTAACGAATTGCTTGAAGTTGCTATGAATGAGTGGGTAAATACTAAGCGAATTCCTAGGATTATAGGTGTCATTGATTGTACCCATATAAAAATAACAAAGTCATCCATTCACGGTGACGAATATGTGAACAGAAAAGGGGTATGTTCAATAAACGTTCAAGCTACTTGCAACGGCAGAGAAATGTTTACAAGTGTCGATGTATCTTGGCCAGGATCCGTGCACGATAGCCGAATTTCGCAAAACTCGGCAGTGCATCGAATTATGTCCAATAATGTACAAGAAGCAGCCTTGTTGGGTAATGAAGAATATGCTGACACCTTTTAAAATTCCAACAGCATCTGTTCAAGAAAATAATAATTAATCCATGCGCAAGAAGATTGTGTCATAGAGCGCTGCTTGTCTGAAAACTAAAAGCATTCAAAGACATATTGTAAGCGCATTTGTGCTTTACAATATATATAAACACTTTCGAGATCCATACCATGATTTTGATCCAGTTGAGATAGAAGTACAGCATTCGAATGAACTAATGCTCTATGGTAATCAAGCACAAATTCGAAATTGAGGCACACGGCACAGAAATTAAGTTGCTGAAGCTATATTTCGTAATGCCAACTAATGAAATTTATCTCCTCCCGTGCAGTAAATCTACAACTAAATAGCGTATTTATTTCAAATTAAAGATTGCATAACAAAATGAAATAAAAACGATTTCTTCTAAATAGTTACACCTTTATAAATAAATACTTATTACTGTCAATTCAACATCTTCCATCGAATTAAATGGTCGACTAACTACTCACCAGCTTTGGCAACTTTAAATTGTTTTCTTAAACAGTTAAATTAGTGACTTCTCTTTCTCAGCTGTTTTAAAACCTTTAGGTGTCGTGACTCTAACTTGCTTGGAACCAGATTTGGAACTGGGAAATTCATCTTCACTGTTTTGTGAGGAAACTCCATCATCATTGATTACACCCGCCCGACACGCACCTGGTACCCTGTGTAGGACTGGATTTTCTTCTACGTTCCAGAAATCGTAGAATTTTCTCTGCCATTCAGTCTGTACGATTTTTTGTTTCCAGTTTTTTTCCCGTCAATAATTTTTTTACTTTTGTTTTTATGTTATTGAATTTTTAAAAATTTGTTAAGGATTTTGGTTTCTTCCTATTATTTTATTGAAGCCAGCAATTAATTTTTTAGTGCATCTTCTTTTTCGTTTTCGATTTTTGGTGTCATTCTTTTAACAAACAACTAACTCCTTTGTAGCTTCGGAATCAGAAAAGTCACTCATACTTGCAACTTTCAAAAAATTTTAATAGTTTAAGACTAAATGTGAATCCACTAATGCAGGCACTGATGGAAAAACAAGTTCTAATACTTCTGTTGTTCTGTACAGTGTAGTGTGTTCTTCGGAGGCGAAGCAGATACTTCCACGTAAAAGTAAATGCTACAAGGTAGATACTTTTGAGTGAAGCAACAGCATTTACTACTTTTTATGCATTCCTCCCACTATTTTTTCATCAACCGTGTGGAATCAAGTGTTTATATTGATTTGTAGAACAAATTTAAGAAAATTCTAGTAATGCTTCCCGAACTCGGTTGGAAAAATGCTACTTATCTGGTAAGTGGGTAATTTAATTAAAATAAAACAAAAATCAATAATAATAAATAACAAAAGTACCTTATGTGTACTAAAAGAAAAAATTACAAGGTTAAATACAAATATAAATCTGATGTGCAAATTTACACTTTGCATCGTCATTTCATCACTACAGTGAAACTACCAAATTTAAACAAAAACAACTACTAACCGGTCAATTGAAGATCAACGTAGTCGCTGTAAGTGCCATCTCTTGTCTGAATTTCACAGTAGTACCTTCCTTGGTCTGCGAGCTGAACGTTTCTGAGATAAAGGTTCTCTCCGTTTTGCTGAGAATCCTGCGGCAGTTCTAACCTTTCCCTGAACCATCTGATCGAATTCCCGCCATTCGGATTGTTGGCTCTGCATCGTAACGTGACAGTCGTTCCGACTGGAGCTCTTTGTTGCTTTTGTTCCGCTTTGATTGCCGGCCTCGAGACGTTATCTAGATGACATAATGTGTGGAAATTGAAACTAATGTACTACTTTATTGATATAAAAAAGAATAATTACCTTCGACAATTACATCAGCAACTGCTTCGGCGGATCCAGCACGGTTGTGAGCTGTACATAAATACCGTCCAGCGTCTTGTAGTTGGATGTTGTTGAAACGGATGAATCCTTCTCTCGTGTAAACTGAGGTTGGCATTTCACGTTCTATGGGCGACCAAGATATTTCGATGGGTTGTTCACCGGTTGCGCTGCAATTTATGTAAGCGTGCTCTCCGGGATGGACGATTTGTCTTGGAGGGATCAAAGTAATTCTTGGCGGAGCTATAAAGGGAAGTATGTGATTAAAATAGAGCCAGTGTATAAAGATTTCACGATACACTTATACCGTCATATTTAGGCCCATAAAAATATCGATAAGTACAATAATTAGAAAATAACTGTAACTACGTCCTACTGAAAGTTTTGGATTTATCTCAAATTTATGGAAGTTTTATATCAAAGATAAGGAGCCTCAAAAATATATTCTTGATTAAAGACAATCAAAGGAACTTATATTTAAACTAGCCACGCTGTATTAAAAATACATGTGGGCCTTTAGAAATCTGAAATATATAAGATAAAAAAGTTTTAACTCAGCTTTCATTGAAAGGTTAATTATAAAAGCCTTGGAAGATAATTCCTCAGTAATTATGGTCCTATAAATGAACTTAGATTAGGTGTTTCTTGTCCTCCATTGAACCTAGATGAAAGTAACTTTGTTCTGAATACTAAAACACTACAAGTTGCAAACTAGCTTCGAATTAACTTGGTGGAAGATGAGAGGTATAAGCTACCTCCCACAATCAATTTTAAATCAAAGAGACTTAAGGCTACAGTTTTATTGTGTGAAATATTCCTTCAATGCAATGAATATTATTTCTGTAGAGAGATTTAATTTTTTAGGACGCCTTTATGATCAGTTCATAAGGGTTCCTGGACTGCATAAGCTTTCTGATCCTTTTTAGATGAAAAAATCGTAAACTAATCCGGAAATTAAGAAAAAAATGTGCTTTCCAGGATAGGTTCAAGCATACCATTAGTAGTACATCTGTTTGGAATCGGTATAAGTGTATCATTATAATAAAATTAAATGTGTTAAATAAAAAAAATGATCGTTTTGTAATATACGAATGGTTTTTGGCCATTTTATTCGTAAATCAAATTTGTTAAACTCAAGACAGATAGAAACAAGATGATAGTGTCTAAAGATGACCGTGTCTGGAGATGAAATCAGTATAAAATGAACATATATATTTATATATTGTGTTGGGAAAAATAACCGATGAAAACACAGTACCTAAATACGCACATATGTCTTCTCCGGCTGCCGTCAGATACAATAAAAAAACAAATAATTACACACAGAAGAAATAAAAATAAACATCACCAATAAATCATACCAGAAGTCGTTTTATCACCCACCTAAACCGAATAAATCGATTTAAATAAAAAATTTAACCTATCTGCGAGTGTTAAAACTATTTCTGATAGGCGTCTATTCTAAAAGTTTCAATCTATGTTATTCCAATAAAATAGTTTAAAACTACTTACAGATAACGGTAAGGTAGGCGTTTAGATTGAAAATTGGTGCTCCTGTTGTTGGATCGTATCCAATGCAGCTGTATTCACCTTGTGCTTCGGGTTCAACGTTGTCGATGTAAAGAATTCCGCTTCTTTCGAATGCGTTCGAAGGTAATGGAGAACCGTCGGTTCTGGACCATCTTACTTGGATGTTGGCACCTGAAAAGGATTCTTTCAATAAAGCTTCGTGTTTTAGATAAATGTCTTTCAACGTGGGTATCTTTTTATAGGGTTTATCTGACCTTATGTTTTACCCCTTTTTACTTTACACTATCTACTTTCACACATTATAGGTCCTTGACTGAGTATGCAGGTATCACAGGTTTATGTAACCTCCTGTGTCTGCACAAAAAAAATGCCCTTCTGATGCGACCAAAGGCCATGAAGAAGCCTTAGAAATGTATTTATTGACCGGTTTCTATCGTTCTTTATGGTATCAGTTATAAACTTTTCTTATTATTATTCCCAACTAGTTCTAATTTATAAAGAGTATTTATCCTAATCGTTTTGAATATGGGTTTCCATCAGTACTTTTTTGAAAAGTGTATATTGTCATTGTTTAAAGAGGGATAGTTATGGTAGGATTCTGGGATATACCCTATAAGGTACAAAATCTGTAAGATATAGTAATGTAATGTAAAGTTTTACAGATTTTGGCTTACAGATCTTATAGATTGTCTCAGAATCGACCCATTAGTCAGCGCGTGTATAAATTCTGTTTGACTACCTCTTGCACCCTCCCGGCATAAGGAGGTGGGGCCCTACTGGTTGAGAGACGCCGAAACTGTTAATTACTCTGTTTGAAAGTAAAAATCTAACTTTATACAATAACGCTACTCAAAATATTCTGAGAGTAGGCTTTAGATGCCATGTTGGAAAGGGTACGAGGTAAGAAAATAAGTTTCTACGACTTGTTACAAGAAGTAGTGAAAATTTTAAATCAAAATAACAGTCTATTGATATCTTGCAATGTTTTTTATTTATACGATTTTTGGGTAATATCTAATTGCACAAAATTGGCATTTAAACTTGTTTAAAACTTTTTTACCCAGTATCCAGAAAAATAAACGCTAGAACAACTCTCAAATGAAAATGATTTGTCGAAAAGAGAGGAAACTAAATTAGATTTTAAAGAAGGTTCCACGTTTTTTTCGTCTTCATTATCATAGTTTTCTTTATTTTTCTCTTGCTCTACTTCTTCATCCTATTCTACATTCATATTTTGCAAAATATCGTTTGACGTAGAAGAACTGTCCAAAATGTTTTCATCATTGTCCGATTTTAAAATAGCATTTACGGAAACTGGGGGACTGCATAAAATTATTAACAATATTTAGTTTAAATGATGGTTTAAAGATCCGCTCTATTGGATTTCTATCGTAACCGCCTTTTTGTTTGTATACTGAAAACTGATTTTCTAGTGGGTCTTGAATAAGGCGACTAGTAAAAAGCTTGTTTTACTTACGTCTAAAATTGCATAACTGTATTTATTGTTGATAAAAATCTGTCAAAACTGTTAGGTCGGGTTAATTTTCCCTTGGAATTTTATTTGTACAGATTTGATATTAGATCATTATCTGATTTTAGAGCTGTGACAACCTCTTAATTCTTATCACAATATACTCTCTTGTAGGGATTTGATGCTCGGACTCGTGTACTATTTAAGGCATCGAAAAGATCATTCATGGTCTATACAAAGAACGCAGTATTTTTGGCAGTACTAGAATTTAACTGCCCAGTTCTCGTAGATGTTTTAATAGCAGCTACAACGCTGTGACTTAATAATTGTGTGGCTAATTTAACATTCATTTCCTTCCCTACATATTTCTGCTTCGATGCAATGTTGCCATTTAAATAATATAAGTTTTGTTTTAATTGAATTTTATTTAAAAAGATAATCTGATTTTTTATTAAACTCTGTAGTCTCGGCTGTAATATAATAATACAATAAACAGTAATTTCGGTAAATAACCTAGCTATAAAATGTCTTAATTTTTACTGTAGCAACAATGATTTTTCTATGTTAATCATTTAGTTGGACTGAAAATGGTACTCATCCATTCTTCTATGGAATATAATTTTAAATGAAATGACACATTATATACTCTTGGCAACTCAAAAATAGTCGCCATCTATTTGTCGTCTCCAAAATATTCAAACCTTTCGGCCTATGTCTCTAACTAACTATATCTACTCTTTAAACAATGATATTGTGGTACTCCTAAGTTTGTAGCTGATTCCAACGTTCCTTCTAAATCGATATAGAGTCCCCTATAAGTATATTTTTTAAGTGTTTATTTACCGATAACTTACCATCTTGATTTGCAATGCTGCATCTGATCTCAGCCCGTCCTCCCAAAGCGGCTATGTATTCTTGGTCATGGGTAGCTGGTTCTGGTCTATATGTTGTTGTGTAATGAGGACGTGTTAGTTCGTTATCCCTCCAATCTGGTTTTTCTCCAGTAGAAGTTGCATCTTCTCCTGTTGAATTATGACTATTAATAATCAGAACTCTTGAATAATATCATAATGTGTTTATGATTAAAAATGCGCAAAAAGAAGTTTTACGTACTAATTTTTAATTTTTAATTTTCCACCACCATTTTATAGTTCAATTATTATTACTATTATGTTCATTTTAAATAATTAATATAAAACTAGCTTTGAAGTAACATAAATTATGAATTAATATTGATAAGTATGTTTTTGGTTTTTATCAAATATTTAATTGGCGGAGTCAGTAGGATAGTGAAATGGTATATAAAGTAACTTATAAGTGTTATAGTCTGAATTAAGTAATTTTTCCATATTTTTTCATAAACTGCGTTACTTCAGAAACGTTAACACATTTTAGTTGAATTGTAAAATTGCGATCATTGTGAAATATTTTAATTAATGAGATTAATTTTTGTTAACTTACCTGTAGGCGGTCTCTCTATAGTCCGATTAGTAGGTGAGAATGAAACAAAAAGCATTAAATTTAAAAAATGTCGATTATTTCATATAGATACTGATATACACTCGTATGTATATACACGTGCTACAAAATCTTAGCTGAGCTTACATGTTAAAAATGAAATGGTATAATAATTATCAGAAGAACCAACCTTTGACAGACTATTTACAAGGTATTACCAGTAAAGAAATTGTAGCCGTAGTTAATAATTATTTAATTATTAAAAAGCAAAAAAAAAATGTTAAAAGTTTTGTTAAATACAAAAATAAAACCAAAAAGTTAACCAGATGTAGTATTATACGAATGACACTGAAAACTCAGGTTCTGTCAAATTATGCTTAATTTGTAGCAACTTAAAATATTCTTCAACTTTATCAAGTGAGCCAATGGTGTTATTAAGGATCTTCTGCCATTTATTTGTGTATACTGCCTGATACACATTGTCCAAAATATCGCAAGCATTTGAAAAAATATCTCGTGTTGCATTCAAAGATTGAATTTTTCGGGGTCATCCATTCATACTAGTTAGATAATTAAATAAACAAACCATAAATTCTAAATTTGCCATTTTGTTGATTTTATCTTAAAATCTTTAAATCATACCTGTAATATCTCCTCTACTGGGTAATGTATCGACGTATAATTGGACTCTTCTTTCAACGATACCAGCACTGCTTTCTGCTCTACAAATATATAGACCCTCATCTTCTTTGGTGAGATGAGTAAACTCTTGGTATGCTATATTGGGTAAGTTAAACGCTACTGGTGGTCTGGATAATGCATATCTGAAACAGATAATAAAAATTAAACATAAAGTTCTTAATTATGTAATATTTATTTACCTGGTTTCTTGTCCATATTTAGTCCATACAACAGTTGGTTGAGGTATTCCAGTAGCTTGACACTCTAATCTGAAAGCGTCACCTAGATTTTTGGTGATAACGTCTTGCCTTGGAGTCACGGTGACTTCTGGTGGAGTATGGACAATGATGTGAGCGCTAGCTGTAGCTCTTCCGGCTTCATTAACGGCAGTACATACGTACTCGCCTTCTTCAGCAGGAGTTATTGAGGTGAATCTAAAAAACAAGATTCAGTACTTTTGGTCCAAGCCAAAATAAATATAGATGCAGAACTAACCTCAAAGTGCTTCCAGACATTTCCTCAACGTTTTGACTTAACGGTAAATTACTTTCTCTGGACCAAGTGATGGTTGGAGATGGAATGCCAGCAACTGCTCTACACTGTACCACTGCGCTGTTTCCAGCAATGACGGTCTGTGTAGTGTGAGGGTGAATTTCGAGACGGGGCGTTTCTAAACCTGAAGTTTGAGATAGCAAGTAAGTAAATATGATTGAATTTATTTACAGAATACTTACGAGTTACTTCTACGATAACAGAAGCTTGCGCAATACCCCTAACATTGGTCGCTACACAAACATACACGCCTCTGTCTTGCATTCTTGCACCGCGGATATTAAGTGTTGATCCAAATTGTTCAGTGTTACTAGCAAGGTCTTCTCCAAGTTTAGTCCATTTAACTGAAGGAGGAGGATTACCGGTGGTTGTGCATTGGATTTCAATGGATCCGCCTTGGTTTAGAGTTACACTTTCCGTAGAAACTTGAGCTGTAGGGAATCCGCTAGAAATAATAATTAAATTAGGTAATTTATTTCCGGTACATTTTACATGATTCTTACTTGTCATCGCTTCCTGTAACGGTCACTGTAGCTTTCTTGCTACCGCTAGTGCCAGAAGGTGATGTAATTGTACAGATGTAAACACCAGAAACATCAGGAGTAGAATCGCGTATAATCAAAGTGCCTCTGTCCTCTCTGGAATTGTAAGGAAGATCTGTTCCTTGTTTTGTCCATCTAATAGTTTGTCCGTAAGGAGTCGAAGAGCATCTGAGCATGATAGTATCTCCAGATACACCGCTGAATGACGGAGGCGTAATGTCTACTCTTACGATGGGCCCAACGGTTATTTCGTGAACGACGATGGTGAATCTGGCGTAATCGTTACCAACTCGGTTTGAAGCTATGCAGTTATACTCCCCGGTGTCTGAAACTTGAGCTTGGCGAATACGGAATATCCCGTTTTCAAATCGCTGCAATAGAGAATAAAATAATGAAGGTAAATCAGTTGCAAATTACGAAATTTTAGACTCCCTCCGAATTTGTCGATTGACATTGTTACACTAATTAAAATTTCAGTGGGTTTACGTTATTATACATCATGATGGATATACTCTCATTATTATTGTCCGTATCTCTTGCAGTTTCAAACAATTCGTTATAATCATCAAAATACTTGATCTACCACTATATTTTATTACCAATCTTCCATCTCTTTGTCCTATTTCTAGTAGGTATTCCTTTTTAAAAGTGATGCGGGTATTGAATCAGATCTTAGTCTATTTTAAGATTTTGATTTTGTCAAGTAATTGTTATCCGTAATGTCTCTATGAATTTTTTTTAATGGTAATTCGGGATTATAACTTCTATAAATCGCGTGTTTTTTAATAATATCGACATAATTATTTACATATTCTATGGTGTGTTTTTTTTAAGAGCAATTTATCATATTATGGTTCCATATTATGAAAAAAATTCTAAAATGGGAAAAAATTCGCCGATCACATCCCTCACCACTTCTTCAATAAATTCTCTGGGCAATGGTGCTTCAAATTTAGACAGTTGGATTGCTCATTGATTGATTGATAACATTGAGACAATATATAATGTATAAATCGATCTTCTCTATTCCAATCCTCTTTTACGTTAGAAATTCAAGACAGCTTTTACCACCGGATCTAGATTGTGGCAATTCAATGTCATGCCATTTGGACTATGTAAAGCCCCTGCGAGATTTTAAAACGTATTGAGAGGGTTATCCTGGAAAACATGTGTATTTAGACATCATAGTCTTGGGGAAGACCTTTGATGAACATCTAAAGAATTTAAAAGATGTTTTTTAAAGACTCTAAGCTGCCCAATTGATGCTAAACGCCAAGAAATAAAGTTAATTAGCTGGATCATATAGTTAGCAAGGATGGCGTGGCTGTAGATAAGGAAAAACTCGCTTCTATCAAAGAGTGGCCGCAACCAACTGATAAATATCAAATAAGAAGTTTTCTTGAGCTATGCACGTACTATCGAAGATTCATCAGGAAGTTTGCAGATATTGCTAAGCCATTAACACGACTCACAGAAGAAGCGAGAGAATTCTCCTTGGACGAAGACTGCCAAACTGCCTTTGAAACATTAAAGAAGCATTTAACAACAGCACCAATACTAGGCTACCCACTACCAGAGGGAGAATTTATTCTGGATACTGATGCCCAGTAATGTGGGAATTGGAGGAATGCTTTCACAGATCCAAGGTGGAAAAGGAAGAGTACTGGGTTATTTCAGTAAAGTGCTTTTAAAACCTGAGCGAAATTACTGCGTCACTAGAAGAAAACTCCTGGCAGTTGTGAAATGCTTGGAACACTTCTACCAATACGTATATGGAAAAAATTCTTAATTCGTACCGATCATGCAGCCCTTAAGTGGTTGATGCAGTTTAAAAACCCGGAGGGTAAAATTGCCAGTGACATAATCAAAAAGCGATACGATACCCAAGCCACAGAAGGATGTTTCAATGAAGGCGACAAAGTCTGGTCCCATAACCCAAAAAGACAAAAGGATTATTCTGCGAAGCTTCAAAAGTCTTGGGAAGGTCCGTATCTCATTAAGAAAAAAATCAATGATGTCATTAATCGTATAAGTAAGATCCCGAACGGTAAACCGAAGGTAGTATACCAAAACGGGCTGGTGCCATTTGAGGGTGACTATGACAAGGAAGAAAAAGTAAACCAGCTCCAAAAAACACCTGAACTTGTCTTTGAAGAAATTATGGGTACATATGGAGGTACCGGAAAAGCAAGACATGGTGTTACAACCGAGCAACAACAAGACCTGCTCGCGGTTCCTAAAGATTACTCGCTGGTTCATAGCACTTTTGCCAACATCAACGACACTCGATGTCTGGAATATGTGTTCCGGAAGAAGTTTGGTCGATTGCCAGAACTTCAAGATCAGTTACCAGTCCCTGGAAAAGCATTGAAACTTCAAGATGGATTGTGTTATCTTTTCTATTAGGTAACAAAGAACACCTTCCGAGATCGACCCACTTATCATGATGTATGGGATGCAGTACTTACAACCGTATACATCGCCAGCGATTCGCCAGAGATTTATCTCGGCGGTATCACCAGCAAGTCGCCAACTTTTCGCCATAACAAATATAAAAGCGCGTGTGCAATTTTTAGCGGCGAACGACTGTGCATCAGAATTCTTGTCTAGTGAACGGCGAAATCCAGGAGACTCCATGGCTTTTGCCAGCGGATCGCTGGCGATCGACTATGCATACGGGTGTTAGTCTGAGGGAGCACGTACTAGGTTAGGTTAGGTTAGGTTAGGTTAGGTTAGGTTAGGTTAGGTTAGGTTAGGTTAGGTTAGGTTAGGTTAGGTTAGGTTAGGTTAGGTTAGGTTAGGTTAGGTTAGGTTAGGTTAGGTTAGGTTAGGTTAGGTTAGGTTAGGTTAGGTTAGGTTAGGTTAGGTTAGGTTAGGTTAGGTTAGGTTAGGTTAGGTTAGGTTAGGTTAGGTTAGGTTAGGTTAGGTTAGGTTAGGTTAGGTTAGGTTAGGTTAGGTTAGGTTAGGTTAGGTTAGGTTAGGTTAGGTTAGGTTAGGTTAGGTTAGGTTAGGTTAGGTTAGGTTAGGTTAGGTTAGGTTAGGTTAGGTTAGGTTAGGTTAGGTTAGGTTAGGTTAGGTTAGGTTAGGTTAGGTTAGGTTAGGTTAGGTTAGGTTAGGTTAGGTTAGGTTAGGTTAGGTTAGGTTAGGTTAGGTTAGGTTAGGTTAGGTTAGGTTAGGTTAGGTTAGGTAATGTACAGAAACTAGCCATGCCCAAGATAGAGATTAACCAGCTAAATTGAAGGATCATTAGAAACATGCTGGAAGTAATCTTCCAAGATTCCGAGGTCCAAATATTTTTTTGCAGCCATTCGCCTAGTGTCCAGGTTTCAGCAAAAACCGTCCCTTGTTATTTCAATACGAATGGAAATTGTAAAAGTTGGTCCAGTTGCAGATACAATCATTTAGTTTTAGTTCCAAGAGGAACTATTTCTTAAGGAGGTGGCAATGTACCGTACGCGCGACAGAAAGTCTAGCGTGGCCATATCTAGATCCATCTCGAGTCTCGAGAAACCGATTCGAATGCTTTCCATCGCAGTCTTACGCGTTCCAGAACTTCTAGGCTGAGCTTCTAGTCAGAGTTGGTCCTTTCGAGAGTGTTATATTTATATATAAATAGCGCGATTTTTCGACAGAAGTAAAGTTTCAAATTAAGTGTTGGATAGTAAAGACAAATTTTAATAAATAAATTAGAATTATGAGTTGTAATAGTGCCTAAGTATTATATAAATTAATTAGTACGTTATAAATAAGGTGTTTTAAATAAATAAACTATAAATATAATAAACAATCGTTACATTATCCATGTCTCAGATATGGTATATCTATAAAGGAAAGAAAAAAGTCTTTACCATATAAAATTTGATTTAACAGGGGTGAAATGCGACTAGTTTCGGTAAATAACCATCATCAGGCCTTTAAGAAAAATGCTAAGTAAGTAATTTTTGAATAATAATTACTTACTTAGTTTCCCCTTCACACTAGTTGATATATTAACTAGTTTTTAGTTTTAAGTCGATAGTTGTTCACTTAAACTATTTTTCTCACTTGTGTTATTCTTAAGCTCTACATACTTTGATAATTCAATGTCACATTTTTGTATATTTGCACACATTTAACTTAATGTTAACGCACCATTGTTTCATACCCATTACTATAGATTTTAAATATTGTTCACCAACTATTTCCATTTAGCTCTGTATCACATTTTATCAGCATATTTTTCTTACAGACCTGATGATTGTTATTGACCGAAACTAGTCGCTATTCACTCCTGTTAAATAAAATTTTCTGTTGTAAAAACTTTTTCCTTTCCTTTAAATCTTAATTAGTTTAATTAGTGAGAGCATACAATTTATTTTTCCGCATCCGCTGGATCCGACATTTAAACATATTTTACGAGTCTTCACTTAACCAAAAACCATGTTTATTAAGTTTTTTATCCTTTACTAAATAATTATTTCATACTGGGCATTAAGTTTACACAACCTTTCAAAGTACATGATATACAGGGTTTTTGAATTAAATGTACTTATTTAAAGTGACAATAATGATTTCATACTGGTAAGATAGGGCATTAAATTTGCACAACCTTTCAAAGTACAAGAAATACAGGGTTTTTGAATTAAATGTACTTATTAAAAGTGATAAGAATGTATGATGTCCAAAAACCAATGAACCCATTTATATATTTCAAAATTTAAAAATGGGCCAATTTACTTGTCCGCCCATTATTCTTCGCTTGACCGTTAAACTTCATTTTCGCAGTGGCATATGCATTATTTATTAAACATTTTCATAATTTAAGTATTACTCTTTTAATTATTGGTATTTTTTCAACACAAGATTTTTGTAAGTTCTAGGAGAGTCCAAATTATAATTTGCTTTAATATCTATAAGTAGAATTGCAATCGACACGTCATATATCTGTCAGATCTGGAAATTTCAGATGGGGGTGCCTATATTATTATTTAAGGGGTACAGAAAATCATCATTAAAAATATATTTTTTTGAATATGTGTTATTGAGACTTTAAAATTCCCGAAAGACCCTTTATAGTAGCGTCGGTGAGTCGTCGGACAGCGTAACGCCCGACCCACTCAGTCACTGTCTTCCCCTCGTTCCCAAATCATTTAAATATGTTGAGACGTGCTTTTTTTGAAATATTGATCAACTAATATACTTAATTTACCTTGATATTTAATAATTGTTATTCATGGTATAAAAAATAAAAGGTAGGATATCAACAGTGTCAAAAATAGGACGGCCACGCGCATGGCGTCACGCGTAGAGTTTGTATAGGCGCGAATTTAAAAATACTAACGAACTGTGAGGAAAATATATGCTAACTTATAGAAATTTGATGAATATTAAGGATAATATTTTAGAAATTACATGAAATATCTATGGATATTATTATGGGATAGTTAAGGAAAGAACTATGAAGGAACTTAAATGCAAATACATACATAAAAGAAATATTTTTTTAAACAGTTTTTTCTTTTTTTTTAATGATTTATTTTGTTTATACAAATTCGACTTCTAAAGAATAGTTTTTATAACCAGGATAATAAAATAAGGGGTACCTTCACAACTCGAAACTGGGGATTCTGGTAACAATTTCACATCTGGATATGCCGGAAATTTTTACCTGATTAGGATTTGCAACTCATTTACCTGCATTATTTTACCCAATTGAATAAAAATAAGTTAATTTTTTTTTATATAATGCAGACATTCATATAATATAATGCAAAACATAAAAAATGTACCAAATACAAATAACTGTTACAATACAAAATTAAAATAATATGTCGCTGCATTTTTCCTGGACCTAGTGGCTGACAGTTTTTTAAATCATTTATCAAGTACAAGTCGAATTTTTTTTTTTTTTTGGTAACATTTACAATTTTATTTTTGCTTATATTGCGAAATTTTTAGCCTTCAAAGGGTAGAGTCTCCAGTTTAAAAATCCCAAGTTGTGGATTAACCATTGTGATTCACACTGGTTCATTATGTGAAGTTCTGATTTAAGATCTCTTTTATAATTGGAAGGTTGAAAGTGCTTGGAATACATATGAAAATTTATCTGCAGGGTCACAAGCCACTGCAAGGGCTGCTCCATGCCGAATTTTCTTGGGAAGGATGGTAGAATTTCCTATTTGCATATTTTTTTTTTTAATAAAATGCTCATGGATTTTAAGAATTTTAATCTAGGGAACGGCACGCTCCCCTGAGCCTCCGCTGGAGCCGCCTTTGGGCTACTTCTAACTAAGCTCTTACTGTCGAGGAAAGCGAGAAACTGTAATATCTTTCTTGAATCCTTTCCTTTAATTGTTACTGTTACATCCGTACTGCAATTTTTCAATGTTTTTTATTAAAACCACTCACAGAGAATAAAGTTTACAACAATATAATACAAATATCTGCTTAGTATCTTATAAACGACTCACAAACTACTGCAACATGCGTCTGTCATATGATATTTATTTCACGCCAGCTCTACTAACTCTACGCATGACGTCAGCGCCGCCATGACACCATGCGCGATATCCCCCCCTGATTGTTATTAATATTCCTAGGTCAAATGAATGAAGTACTTGAAAATTTATGAGATTTTTATGTAAAAATCTTTAATTAATTAAAATAATTGCCAAATTATTACATAGGATTTGGTAAGTATCTTGATCAGTTCCCAATATTACCTACCCTGTTTGATTAGTCTTCTATATTATCTATTATAGTAAGAATTTGTGATTATTTTTGGTTAATAGTGACAGTAGAATTGAAAAATGCAGTGTGGTTCAAGTTAAAAGTTTACACCTGCGAAACGTATAAAAAGTGCTTTGTCAGTTAACAAGAAAATATTTGTGAGCAATGTTTATAATTGCCTAAGAATGGAAAATCCTTCGTTTTCTATTGACGATACTGTTGAAAAGACAAGTAATATGATGGGTGTAAGCAAATCACCGATACATAAAGTTATAAGTGAATTAAAAAGTGGAGTTGTTAAAACCCCAAAGAAAAATGCAGGAGGTAAGAAATAAGTGGAATTTACTGAACAACTTAAAAACTGAATAAGAAGAAAAGTTCACGAATTTTATTTTAAAAAAGAGATATCAACAATTGCCAAGGTTTTGGATGCAATCAATAGTGATCCGTATTTCCCTATAACGGGAAAGACAAAACTACGGGAAACTCTAATAGATTTGAAGTTCAAGTGGAATTAACAGGACAGGAAAGCAGCACTTATTGATTCAGAGGAAATTGTTTGTTGGAGATGGAGATACCTCAAAACCATTTTTAAATTAAGTGCAGAAAAAAAATATATTTTATTTGGACGAAACCTGGGCGAATGAAGGTTACACAGTTAGAAAAATGTGGCAGGACACAAACAGATTTTGTTTGAGCCGTCTGTGCTGCAAACTTCCCATAAAATTTTGATTTATTACTCCGTGTCGATTGCGATTCTACTATAAATATATATTTTAATAAAACCCTTTAAAAATTCTAGAGAACGTCGATTTGGTAAAAATCAATGAATTAAAAAGAAATCATTTACCTGTCCTGGGCTTAAAGGTTGTCCATCTGCTCTGACAATGCTCATTTCCGGTGTAGGTACTCCAGTGCCAACGCATTGAACCTCTACCAGCTGACCTTCACTAACTTCTACAAAGGCTTGAGACAGTGCTATTCTGGGTCTTTGATCGTGGGGAACTAGAAAGACATAAATAGTGTAATTATTTCATTTTATTCACCTTGGATGCCTAGATAAATAGTTTGGAAATAATTTAAAACAATGTAATAGTAAATTTATTAAAAACTGTTTACCTGCTTGTTGTAAAGCATCCTTAAGAGATGCTGTGTAGCGTGTAACAAAGTAAATAAATAGTTATTTCAATATTAAAATAATTAACGATAATAAACAAGGATTAACTGGATAGGAATTGATGACAGCTAGACAAAAGAGGTTTATAAAGAAAGGCCTATTGATATCAAACAAATAGAAGAAAAAATAAAAAGGAACAACGAAATTCTTTAAATTATCAATGCTATCGAGCATCTACAAATTGTTGAATAACAGCTACAGTTTTTAAAAGCCTAAAATAGCAAAATAGACAGTAGATAGGACTTACCTCCTACATTCAAGTTAACGCTAGATGTAACTATAGTATATCCATCGCTAGCTTCACAAACGTATCTACCAGAGTCAGACACCTTCAAGTTGGTAATTACCAAGAGACCTCTTCCATCGTCGATGGCGTGCGATGGTAAATCTCCGTCAGCTTTTCTCCAGAATACCCTCACTCGCTACACAAGTCAAATAATATAATTTTTATAAAATAGATCATCAAATTTTGAACATCTGAACTTACCCCAGGTGTTATGCGTGATCTGGCAGAACAATTGTACCTGATACTACTACCAACTTCGTAAATTCCGATGTTAGGGTCTTCGATTAGTACCTCTATTGTCGGTTCTTGAGAAATCGTGGTTGTATCTGTTGATTCAGTGGTCGTAGTTATGATGCCAGCTAAAATAGATATTGTAAATAAGATGTTTTTTTTATTGATAGATCCCTGTACTCGGGAGAACTGTATACAATGAACAGGTAGACTTGAAAATTAATGGACATCTGTTTCTAAAATGATATAATTCAGATTGGTAATTATAATTAATCCTTGTCTTTACAAATTGAATTTCAAGTTTACTTGTTTCATGTTAATTATTAGTAATTTTGAAAATATTCGATCTTAAAAGTTTTTTTTTTTTTTGGAAAATTTATATTTCGAAGATATATTGAATAATTAGGCCATCGGAGCACATAGCTACGACTGACAAATTAACAATTTGGTTGCCAAATCTAGCCGGTATATACAGTCTTCTATTTAGCTCTCTGAAATCATAAATAGAGGGAGCAGTAAATAAGGCCACAGAAGCCCTACTGGTATGCAGGAAGGAACGGGGCTAAAACATAGATTAACAGAACTAGTTTAAATACTACGAGAGCTAATATCTCCAAAAGTACAAAGACTAGCCTGTATTTGCATCACCGGTGCAATGAGAACTTGTCCTACAGTCGCAATGGAAATGATCTTAAACTTCACTATTATACATTTAATAGTAGAGAACGTGGCAAAAAGCAGATATAGAACGATCATAAACAGAGTAATCAGCCCCAGGACCGCAGATACTTGGAAAACTTAAAAACCTGGACTGGGTTGCAAGAAAGAATGGAGCCAATAATCAGTCGTGTTTGCAACTGAAAGGCATGCAATTCAGTGGTATTCGGATGGTTCCAAAGCCATAGAAGGAACTGTAATAGGAGTGTACGGTCCTAGAACCAGGTATTCTGAAAATTTAGGTAAATTAATCAAGCATCATGCCATTGAGAAGTGTATCCAGTACAACATTAAAAGAAACTATTACAGACAACAGATTATCATTATATCCGATAGCCAAGTAGCCATCAAAGCTCCACAAAATTGGTCTGAAGATGCATAGGAAAATTAAATGAGCTAGGCGAGGAAAATACAGTTACTTCCGGGACATAACGAGGTAAAGGGTAACGAGATTGCAGTCTCGCAAGGAAAAGGGTTCAAATACCGTTTGTGGGACCTGAGACGTTTTGTGGTATCAGCCGTAACACAATATTATAAGAGATTAAAACGAATTTAGGATTAGACAGGCTAAGATACTTCTGGGTGACTATAACCAGAAAATATTTAAAAACCTTTATCTGTCCGAATGAGAACAAGCTACGCCTTATAGCAGGGCTTTTTACCGGGCATTGCCGACTCAAAGGACACTAAGACTAGTAGCAGATAGTGAGTGCAGATTCTGTGAGGAGAACTAAACCTACATTCACATAAAAAATGAATGTGTAGCACACCAGATTCCAAGGATACTATTATTTTGGATTAAAACATGGTCTCAAACTCAGAAATTAAGAATCCCATTGAGCTTGTAAACTAAACGTAATTTAATTATGGCAGTATTCAACATATCTTCGTGGTTCGCAAATTGTTTATATACCTTTGAAGATTAAATATTTATTTGTTTTAATAGAAATGATGCGTACAAACTTATGATTGTTAAAACATAAATAATATGAACAAATAAAACATCTATAGATATTTCCCCAGATCTGTTAGTCTGCTACTTACGTCATGACTATATTTTTACTACCTGGCGTTCAATAGTGTGTTACCACAAATATGTTTGATTGCAATCTCTTTCAAGAAAAAAACAGATTCGTAACAGAGCCTTGCAATCCTTTAATTTCTAACTAGATTAATATAATTGAAAATCTAAACTATCTCTAACTACTTCATACACAATAATAGGAGCAGTTAAATCTCGGTGTTTTTGGTTTTGTATCGGTGATATAGTTAAAAAGCTGTCAAAAAATTATTATGGAAGCTTAAAAATATGCCCCAAGCCGAATTTAAACCATCCATACCTAGTTATGCAACTTAGTGCCTTGACCACTCGACCAACAGGGCGACATATACATTTGTATAAGATTACATCTTGGTCTATACCAAGGAGTGAATCACTCTTGAAATACATTTTTGTTGGAATTCGCTAGAAATCTGTCTAAATCACTCGAATGGATTCCAAAATCATTTTGAAACTACTCGAAATAATCAAAACAGAACTTATACACCATTTTTATATTGATTTGTTTGACGTTTTAACTCAAAACGAAAAATCAATTTTTAGCTCTATAAGCTCTATAAGGGTATAAGGCCTATTTTTCTTTTTAAATAAATGCCCCAAGTAAAGCATTTACGATTATTACATTCTGATCATTAAGATCAATTAGTAATTGTATTCTAACCTAACCTATCCTATCCAGGTATGAAAAACTTCATAAACTAAGAGTCAACTCACTAGTATACCCTAGAGTCTAATTATTTAGTTAGGTACTACCGTTAACTTATAACACTAACTTCCACTATACTCTGCTTTTTTATTTAAGATCACTGAACTAACTTGCGGAGCTGGATAACCTCAACTTTCCCATGTTAGAGCAGTCATTGTTGATGACTAATGGGCACATTTTTCTATTATATTTTCAACAGTCTACACTTTAATGTCCCTATGAAGATCAGTATTGCGGCAGTACCAGGGTGCATCGACGGTGTTCCTTAATGCTTTATTCTCGAAACGTTAAATAACTTTGTTACTTTAACACCATTAAAAATGTTTTCTTTAGGTTATAATATTATTATATAAGGTGATTTTTCAGTTTAGCCCAAAATCGAAGCTTGATAAAAAAATTATACAGCGCCCTCTAGTATACACGTTACTTATTAGATTGGTTTGAATTTATAAATATTACATTAGTGGGGAAGAGTTTTTTTTAACAAGAACAAGTTTTGAAAATTCGGCGTCGCAGAACCGGAGTTTGCTCAAATGATGGTTTTCACTTTCCCCACCTCTTATGGGACAAGGAACTTATTTTAGACAAAAATATGCGGAATTTTCTGGAAATTCCTACTATCATATTTTTAGAAGACCATAACTTAGTACATTTTATAGGTATAAAATAAATATTTTTACTGTTATTTAGTTACGCCAGCTAGCGGTTGTCCTATGATTCTCTAAATAATTTATAGACCTTTCTTGTGGCCATTTTAGTCATTGAATTTGTTAACCAGAAGCTGTACTATAAACGGTTCCTAAGATATGTCCTAAAGCCATTTTTATTGGGGCACCCAGAACATTTTATATGGAGTGGTTAACTCCTGAGTTTACATAGACTTTCCTAAACTTCACAGCTTTCCAATGGTACCACCTCAAACAAAAAAAAAACTACCGAAATTTAACAGCTCCAAATACACAATGAAACGTATTAAAACAAAAAGCGTCTTTTTTGTACTCTGATTTATCTTCAAACCTGGTGAAACAAAGGCTTTAATACTTCCTACTTCTTGCATGTCTTTGTTCCTTACGACGCATCGAATAGTCTGTTGGATTATACCGACAACGATGTAAAATGATGTTTCGGCGCCACCGGAATACCTCCTCTCTTTTAAATCGTACACTACGTACACTAAGCTTTCAATGCTAATGTAGAGATCCGGCGACAATTCTTTATGGTATTTACAAGTGAACATTACTTGGGTACCGATGGGTGCGATCACTTCTGAGGGCGTTAGTTCCAATTCGATACCAAACGCAGTGCTATTTTGGACTAATTTAAAAAACAAAATAAAAGCTACATTTTATATTTTAATGGTAGAAGTTGTATGGAATCTAACTTCTTCTATAGCGTCTACGGACTCTTTAGCTCTAAGAGCAATCTACTGAATGTGATATCTGACTTATGCCTATTTATTGTAATTTGTAAGTAATTTTAGTAAATATGCCGTGTGCTATTTTTTATTATAGTGTTCGTAGTGTTACGCGTATTCTTGATGTTTTTTAAAAAATGCCATATCGGCGTTAAAAATTTAACTGGCGCAGTTAGTTAGGATAGCACAAGGCATATTTACTTTAATATTTATAATAAATTGCAGATAAATTTATAATTTAATCCATATTTCATGTTTTATTATAATTCTGTACAAATCCGCAATTTACTATTTTTTACAATACTTTAATAGTGAAAATTATTTCGCGATTAAAAAATTTACATCATGCAATTTTAAATAAAATAACCATTTGATATTTATTCCACAAAATTTTTCTAAAATAATCATCATGCTGCATGCATTGTAATAATTTAGTTTTAACCAACCTTCAAATTCGCAATTTCTTCCCGTCCATTCTGGCCTACAGTTACACATCACCCTATGGTCTGGTCCTAATTCACAGCTCTCCTCTCTGTCATTACAAGGACATCTAGTACATGATCCCAAAGGTCTAGATTGGTCAAAGTATAAGTCCTTGTAGTACCCGGCGTCGCAGGATTCGCAAGAAGATCCCTCGTATCCTTGTGGGCACCTGTCATTGAACAGTTTCATTTAGAAAAACTCTAGAATATGCTACTATATTAGATGATATACGACGCTCCCGGATTCACATTTCTAGAGTGATCAAAAAGTCAGAGGAGAGAAGATTAATAAAAAATATACGAGTAGGGGGCCTAAATACAGAAAAAAGGATACTGCTGAGTGAAGTGCTACACTCAGTTTTACTATAAGAACATCTCTGGATGAAATCATACTGGGGAAAATGGAAAAAGCCCAGAGAAGGGTGGTCAGCACCTATAAGTTGTCTCTGGAATAGTGACCATCCACCTATTGGTGGAAGAACGAACGTACCTACACCAAATTAGGATCAAACGACTAGAGAGAGATTAGAGAGAGAAAACTGAGAACCGGGTAACATGAGTAGGATGAAAACCAGCGGATATCCTAGTGGACAAAGGAATTGATTCCGAGCGTTATTGAGTGAATGGAATTGCGACCACAGAAGCACCGACTACTGGATGACATAGGTGCTAATAAGGCATGGGTCGTGTAATATCGGAAAAGTAGACGACGAAAACTGTATAAAGTGTGGGGACAGGGCAGACACATATCATAGCACAACTTTAAATATGAAAGATTTGAACGCACAAGAGAAAAGAATAGAAATGGGAGAGACGCTAACGGTAGAAAACATAGAAGCCCTTGTAACAAGAAAGAAAACTGGGAAGCTATGAGGTAACTTATAAAAATAAAGGAGAAAGAGGAAAGAGAACATCAACAGCAATAGAGATGCCTGCCACCGCGAATATTTTATAAACGATAACACGGCACGGCGGCAGCATTAGAGGAGTTTCACTGGGTAAACCGGCCTTGCACCAACTGTATGAGAGTCCCACACTATCATATTGCTACATGATAGAGCAAATAAATGGTGTCCCATAAGGGATATCCTTTTCGCATTAAAAAAAGTACTCCATTGCTTCTAAGAATTTAAATATAAATAGGCAAAGACAAAATAAGTAATTAAAAAATTTGAAAAAATCGAAGAGTAGGCCGATCTCCTTCCCTACACTTTTTTAATACCTTTTCTGAGCTGCTAATGATCATTTTCAATAGGTTTGTTCCAACATAAACCAAATTAGGTTGCTTACTGTCCGGATTCTGCGCAGTCTAGAATTCATGTTTCAACAAAACTTAGACTCAAAACTGTACAAAAACATAGTGTTCCAACACAACCAAAACTAATCACAAGCCCATTTGTGTACTGTCAAATCAGTTCCTGGGTCTGAATAGGAACGAATTGTCAAGACATGCGCAAAGCCGCAATAAACCGAACATTTCGTGTTTGTAATTATATTATTTGTATCTATTGTATCTGACAGTTCCTATTTGTATTTATTAATCAAGTTTAGTCTTCATAGTTTTATTTTGTGGTTTATTATTGTAATATTACGTCTGTTGAATTTAAAAAATGTGTTCCAACATAATCGAGTTCCGAGTTGAGTCCCAATCCCCGACCAATACCTGACAGTTTGTCAATTACTAGTCGTCGACAGATTGTCAACAATAAGTTTTGGACTGGTTTATGTATTGTTCCAAGATCGTTGTTGGAACAAACCTAATATGTTTCATAACAGGGTGCAAGTTGAGGTCGGATATAGTAGAGCGATGGGGGTTACCCACACCCAACCCCCTTTTTTAGTAGCCTTAGGGTCGGTCTTTTCACTTTTAGATAAAGTGTCAGGTAATTTTTATCCCCTAGATAACTTAAAAAGTAATGTTTTCACTTTTAAATAAAACGAATCGGCAGATAAGTTGGTCTAATCTAAAAGATAACTCATCTTACCTCTGAACTTCCTGATAAAGTACTTATACTAACCTGCAAATTTCAACGCTTCCAGCTTTGGATTGACCGGTGTATTGTTCAACAGCCGTGTCCAGGGTAATGTCGCTCAAGTAAGCTCTGATGGTGTCACTAGATTGCGTCGCTCTGATCAGGATAGCTTCGATTTTCGCTAGAACTGTAAGGATGTCTTCGCGTGAGGCCGGTTTTGGACCTTGGTTGCGATCTAATCGTAGCCAGTTGGCGGTTGGATGGAGGGCCACGGAGATTGACTGCGAATTTAAACATATTTATAACGATATATACTGCTGTTGGAACAGTTTTTATTATATCAGAGCAGTTAAAAAATTACAACTATAAATTAATATTTCAATTTTTTTCAAAGTTTTTCAACAAAGGCCAACATTTTACTTACATTAACAATACCTTCCCTTAGTTCAGCAGGATTGGTCCAGAAAATGGTGATTCCATTACCGATTATAATAATATCCTTGTCAGGTACGTATCTAGACTGCGGTCTTTGCGTGAATCTCTGAGAAAACTCCAATTTCCCTCCATAAGATCTAATCTTGTTTCCATTAAATATACCAGGCAGCGACCAGTAGAGGGTTTCCCGATTGCTAGGTAACAATCCGTAACTAATTTCGTTCATGAATTCGTTGACGGTGAAGTCTGTGATTCTGGTGTTGAGCGATTGATCGGTAATGGTGAAGCCGTTGGCTTGTTCTGTGATCTGGTAGGGGATTTGTTCGACGTATAAGTTGCTTTCGGTACATTCGGTGGCTACGCCGGAGCAGAAACAGAATTCGCATCCGTCTATTGAGCTGGAGTTGAGGCCGAAAGAACCTTGACGACATCGATCGCAGTTGTTTCCTTCGACGTTAGACTAAACGAAGATCGTGTGATTACGATTTTGTATCGGAAGAAAAAACGTTACTAAATAGGCCAGGTAGCAGATCTTCTGTGCTAATTATAATAGTCTAAAGGTAGGTAAAATTTAAATTGTGTAAATAGTCTTATTTGAAGAACGAGGAGTGCGTTCGCTATTAAAATTTTTTTTAAGACCGACTAGAAAATATACACTTTCTAAACAATTTTTCGTCCAGAAAATAACGTTTTGCCGATCAAGACCGGAAAGTAGACGTCATGGACCGGTAAAAGCTTTTTTTAAGATTGACCAGAAAGTATATACTTTCTGAACAATTTTTTGTCCAGAATGTAACGTTTTGTCGATCAAGACCGGAAAGTAAACGTTAGGGACCGGTAAACGCATTTTTTTGAGACCGACCATAAAATATGTACTTTCTGAACAATTTTTCGTCCAGAAAATAACGTTTTGCCGATCAAGACCGGAAAGTAAACGTTAGGGACTAGTAAAAGCTTTTTTTAAGACCGGCCAGAAAATATACACTTTCTGAACAATTTTTCGTTCAGAAAGTAACGTTTTGCCGATCAAAACCAGAAAGTAGACGTTAGGGACCGGTAAAAGCTTTACCGGTCTTTTTCATAATTTTGAATCGCTGCTTGATAATACAGTCTGCCTTGATTTCGTTACTATGGTAACAACGTTCCGATTAATTATTAAGTGACAGTTCGTTGATTTTTAATTTGTTGTTTATGTCAAACTTGTTTTAGCAAATTTAAAAATATAGATTAATGTATTGAATTACCCGACAGAAAATTTATCCATTATCTAGTTTTACTATTTGTTAATCACTTTATTAAATAAAATAAATAATTGAGTACATTTTTGAGAACTTATTCTTCTTCAAACGCAATATAGTATACTGAGCGCAGGTCCCAATACATTTCCATGCGGTTCTCCTGCTTCGACAAGTGGCAGTATTAGGTTTGCAGATCGTCTTATCATTTATAAAGTTTGACAGTCTTGAGTATAATCTCATTAATAAATTTAATATAAAATCTGTTTTTGTTTCAAAATGAATGAATTTTTGATAGAACACGTAAACCTAAAATTTGGTATAAATTCCGATTTTTAGTGGACAACCAAAGAGATACTTTAAAGATAGGATTTAAGAATACTTTTTTATTTCTTATTATTGGTTTAATTTCCGAAATGTAAATAAAATTAGTTTATATCCCATACATGACGAACTATTAGTCTACTACCTGACCTATTTAAAATTAAATTTTAAAAAAATAACGTTAGATAAAATCTATACAAATAAATTGCTAATCGGACATTATTATTGATTAAAAAATCATAAATTTAGCAGGCTCATTCACTATTTAATAATGGCCCAATTTTTAGGCCATACCAATAACTCCTGGTAGGTAATTTGAAGTATTTAATATTCTCTGCTAATAAATTTTTAAAACTTGTGCCATTTAGTAAGTTCTCCATATTTAAAAAATAATTAAATTTAGAAGGTTATTATTCATTTAAAGGAATATTGTTGCAAAAAATATTGATTCACAATAATTAAAAATAAATTCGATTTAAAAAATTTGATTTTTATCGAACATTTTGGGACCACTTTTGGTGAATTTTGAATTTAAAATTCAATATTTTGAAATTCATAAATTATATATTTTGACTTTTCATTATTCCATTTGAACCATTTTAATTCGTATCTTTTTAATAACATAATTGTTTAAATTGTATCTAACATTATCATTCTCAGAGTTTTGAATTTAATCTAAATCTACTACTCAAAAATAGAATTGTACAGAAAGAGCAGCAGGCGTGTGCTAAAAAACTCACAACCACACCAAAAAATAGCAAGTTACACACGAAACTTTATATAGGTACCTAAATAAAAATATTTACATAAAAAATTTATAAAAATTCGTAACTCAAATTGTAAATTTTTAAAAATACCTTGCATATACATCTACCGTCCCTGCATTCAGTTGAAACGGATCCACGAGGGTCACAATTACACGGTGGTGGAGTACCACGATAAGTACACGGTATACCATTCGCTGGGTCTCCCGTATATCCTTCCAGACATTCGTCACAGTAGTCACCAGTTGTGCCATCTTTGCAATTCTATAAATAATTATATAATTTTGTGTAGATTGTTTCAATTACATTTCGGCTTCGTCTCATAAATAATCTTTGTAGTATCTCTGAGAAGCAACTGAATGCACACATATTCCCTCCTCTTACCTGGATGTTGTGTTCGTCTATCATAGGCAAACATATTAAGATAATTACTTTAAAGATCTTGTTGCTTATCGAAGTATATAAAAAATAATATATAATATATAGACGAAGACATGAACTAGGCGAGGAGGGATGTTTTGTTTTTTTTAGACTGAATATGTGTACGTTCGATTGCCTCAAAAAATTCTACAAAGGTTAATTATTTCGACGAGGCTTATATATAATTATTTGTTTGTTTAATCATACAATTTCTTATAATATTTACCAAGCAAGTTCCTGTATCCGGATCACAATCATTGGAATAACCGTTGCAGCTGCAAGCTTCGCAAAGGCCAAGATACAATCCGTTCGGAGTTCTAGTAAACCCTACATCACAATTTTCACAAGAAAGACCTGTATAACCAGGAGGACAGTGACACTGCTCTACCTCTAAAGCTCTATCTCTCGAACCGGTGTTACGTTCGCTAGCTGTATCTAGCGATACCGAAATGAGGCTGAAATAAAACGAGTTGACTGGTTTAGAAATTTTTTTTGGATTCTTTAAGAGCTAAGTTAGCTGATAGAACTAATAGGGGAAAAAAGATTTAAGGACACAGTAGCAGACTCCATTATTTGTAATAATAACTAATTTTGATAGATGTTATGTATATGTCATATTTAAGTCCATTTGTTCAACAGATGGAGTAATATACCATTTATTATTATTCCGGTCCTGATCGATGTGGCAACATTGTCTTAAAATCATGTTAAGTGTAGATAGTGCGCTTTAGATTAACGAGACCGAAGATGTAACATTGCACACTGCGCATGTAGTCTATTTTAAACCCAAGTAACCCACCAATTGAAAATCATTGTTTGCACGACGCCACCCGAATTGCTCTGATTTTTCCATTCAACGCTTACCTCCCGCCTGAGTTCAATCACCATTGACAGTTGTTTTTTTTTGATTTATTTGTTGGTGTTTTCGCAATTTAAAATGTTCTAGTTATTCAATTTTAAGTTCAAAATGCCACGATATATCTTGAAAAATTGTATATACTTATAATACAAGTACCAATGTTATGAAAGATAAAAAATATATTCATTTTCAGCGGTAAATATTTATTAACGTTTTGACATAAAGCGCCATGATCCTTTGGGCTTAATACTTCAGATCCGCATTAAGGGGTTTTAATAAATATTAAGCATCAAATACATATTTTAGAAAACATATTTCATATTACTTACATAAATTTACAAACAATTTTGAATATTTAATTTAAATAAGAAGTAAATAGGCATTGTTGCTAACGAAATTCTGTTTTTAAAAAGTAGTTTTATAAGAATATTTACTAAAGGTGGTTTTGAGCCCTTTTTGGTAGATAAATAAGAAGTAAAGAAGCATAGTTGCTAGCTAAATTTTATTTTTATAAGGTATTTTTATAAGAATATTAGATGAAATACAGGATGACCTACTTAAAATTTCAAGGTTCATCTTATTTGCGGTCAAATCGAAAGTGACATTTGAATCTTGAGTCTTAAAACAAAGTAAAACGCACAATACGATCTAGTATAAGCAAAAAAATACTAAAGTTACGGGAGTTAGTCACATTTTTAATAAAATGTTACATTATAAACCCCTAAACAACTGGAACAAAATTTTCGTTTACTAAAAAATCCAAATTCTAGCAATATTTATTATACAATCGAATGCGGTTTCAAAGATAACGGGATCAAAAAATCCGAATCTCTAAATTTTGGTGCTAAATGCTCGGATAAAAAGAAGCGACCGATAGGGGTTACAAAAATAATCGATTTATCGATTATTCTGATATTTTTTTAAGAAAATGTAATAATCGACTTTAAAGGAAATATCAAAAAGAAAATAGATTTATTTAAAATATTTGATTTTTTTTGGAAAAATCGATTTATCGTTTTTTTAATTAATCGATAATTTTCGAGTTTTCAAAGGTATTATATGAAAATAATCGATTGATCGAATATAATCGATTATTATTTATAACCGATTTTTCGGTTATTTTTTAGAATTATCGACTTATCGGTTAATCAGCTTTTTAATAATCGATTATTTTCGATTTATCGATTATTTTAGATTTCTTGAAGATAATAGAATAATCAATTTTAAAGGAAATATGAAAAGGATTATTAGAAAATAATCGATAATTCAGTTATTTTTTTGGAAAATAAATTTATCGTAGAATCGGCTTCTTAATTAATTGGTTATTTTCGATTAAGCGATTATTTTGGAATAACCGATTATTTTCGGTATTTCAAAGATAATCGAATTATCGATTTTAAAGGAAATATATTATTGATAATAATCGATTGATCGAAAATAATCGATTATTTAAAATAATCGATAATTCGGTTTTTTGAAAATCGATTTATCAGTTAATCGACTTTTTACTTAATCGATTATTTTTGATTAATCGATTATTTTCGATTTTTCAAAGATTATTGAATAATCTGTTTCAATAGACGAAAAAAATAACCGATAATTCTTTTATTATTTTTTAAAAACACTGATTTATCGGTTAATTGGCTTTTTAATTAATCGATTATTTTTGATTTTTCAAAGATAATCAAATAGTCGATTTTAAAGGGTATACGACAAAAAAATAGATTGTTTGAAAATAATCGATCGATCGATCGAAAATAATCGATTATTTTCAATTTCGATAATCACTCACCCCTAGCGACCAAATGACTTTTAATAGGTTTAAATTTTAAAATGTTATCTGCTTTCAGACATATACAATGAGTACCATTTCTTGCTCTATTAACAATATTCTATTTCAACATTTTACTGTAGTCTCTTGCTGAAAAGTCCGTAGTAAATAAACGCTAACGAAATATTCTATAAAAGGTCATTCTCTTTACATAAAATGTCGTGGCATCTGTTTGATATTAAAAAATCACGTTAATTTTATTTCATAATACAAAATTCCATTAAAAGTATATTTTACATAAATCTAATAGTTCATTATGATGCTAATAAACAAAGTCCGGTCCCTGTCACTCCGTTAACCTTTCTTTAAAAATTGGCAACATTTGCGCGGGTTAAACACCGGTGTATGTTATATCTCTGATCTCTTTTATCTAAGATAGTACGTTCGTTTTTCAGGAGAAAGGTATAGGAAGACAATGCTATTGGATATAGAGAAATAGAGCAGTACTTTGTATCTAATCACGGCAGGCAGACATGTGAGTCAAGAGTTACTCTCTTTAAGCTTCTCGCATCCAAATATAATATTAAGAATAGTACATGGGTGAGCAAAATACTAGATTAATCGATTTTTTTATTATTTCATATTCGTGCAGTGTTTTTACTAGGTAGAATGAATATAAAATATATTCGTCCAGTTAAACGCAATGGCATACTTTTTCGTTTTGTAATCTGTGCGTAGAAGAGCTAATATCCATGAAGGAGTAGAAAACAGTATATTATACACCAAGGTATTGAAGTGGTACTTTTATTCCGAGGCGAAAACTCGATTAATCCATCAATCGAAAAACAATCGAATAATAAAAAATAATCGGTTAAACTAAAATAATCGATAAATCGAAAATACATCGATTAATTGAAAATAATCGATTAATCGAAAATAATCGACATTTTTTTGTGGATGGCTTATACATTTTGTAGGTAATTGAAAGGACGCAAGGCAAAAACATCAAAACAGTAGCAAAATTGTTTTTATATCGTAATCTCCCTGTGACATCTACAAAAATTGATGGTTTGAGAAATTTCAGGAACTGATAGAAAATTTCTACTTTGACCAACACATTTCACAAATATAGTTTAATCGTAATTCTTCTCAGATTTTTCTTATTTAATAAAGAAACAGCAAATAAAAAGGAGATTTAGTTCTTTAGACCGTATACTCTAAGCTGGTACAAGATTTATTTTATTACATTTAGCTGAATTTAAATATATTTGGTAATGATGAACCCTTGTTTCTTATAGTTAAAATATACTGAAACTACGGCCTTAATAATTAACAATTAAATTTTTCAATTGTTTTCCAAATATTATTACAAAATAAGGTTAGATACTATTCTACTATCAAAATTCTGGTTGAATAAGAACAACACTTTTGAATCTTTAGAACTCTACTTTAAATAGTAAATATGAAGAAATTTTTATTAACCTTTCTAAATTCTGTATTTTTATTGGGGGGAACCCGTTAAATAAATATATAATGGGAATATTGTATATGTATGAAAAGGTTTTCAAGCATTATGTGATATTTATTTTGTGTAAAAACAGAACTGGAAGGGGTAGGTACACATTTAAAAACTTACGATGATTGTTGCGAGTTGGTAAAGTATGTAGCTTTAATGTAAATCTTTTCTAAATCGGCTAGAACCATAAGAAGATGTTCTCTATCAGCAACTTGACCATCTTCTCTTTGCCAAAATTGTTCTAATATCGGAACAGCGAACGATTGTGCTTCACTGGGACTCTGCGTCTGGTTTTTGTTGTAGTACAACAGATTGATGTTATTTTTCTAAAAAAGATTGTTCGCATATGATATAAACCAAACAATTCTGTAAGATAGATAATTTAAACATTTTAAACACTTACGCTGACAAGTTCGACATCAGCAGCGTTGTTCCTAGAACTCTGTCCTCCAGGAATGGCCGTGTTTCTGATTGAATAACGTAGAAAACCTCCATACGAAGTCAACTTGTTACCTAAATAACGCGAAGGAAGATCCCAGTAATACACTTCTGAGGTAGCAAATCCACTGTAAGATATTTGTCTGCTAGTTTGATCTAACGTGATGCCGCTAGTTATGGGCGATTCGCGGTTCTGGCTTGTTATGAGTTTGAACTCTTGTGTTGAAGAAATGAATAAACTCGACACCTACAAACAGTTTTTCCGTAAGAAGTAACTATTACTTTTAGTAAGAAAATGTGTTACCTGATCTCTGTACCAATTCGAGCTAGAACACTGCGTCGATACTCCCATACAGAAGCAAGACACGCATCCAAATTGATTCTCGCCACTCAGGTAGAATGTATTAGCCTTACATGTATTACAAGTCGGACCATCAACCAAATTCTGCAAAACATTTACGTAACGAAACTAAAACTCATGAAAGCTTCCAAAAATGTACTCTTAGTAGGTATACTTACCAAATTTTCGTGTGGGGTAAAGCATGAAACAATGCAGTGAACAATGAATGAAAGTTAGATTTAAAAAAACTGCATTCAAATAAATTCAACACGCCGTCAAGCGTTTGGCATAAGAAGAAGGAAGAAGTGAAGGATATAATAGTAATTTATAGTTTAAAGCTCAAAATTTGGTACCTTGCATCTACACCTTCCATATTGATCGGGTCTGGTATCAATAGAACCTGCTGGATCGCAGAAGGGCCGTGGAGGAACTTGAACGGGTCTGCAGGAGTCGCCTGGTGTTAGAGGATTACCTTCGTATCCCGGAGCGCAATACTGGCATCTGTTGCCTACGTAGCCAGTAGGACAGTCGCATATTACATCACCGTCTGAACCCAGATGGCAAGCCCTTCCAAACCTTGACAAAAATAAAGGTTATAATTTATTCATAAATTATTCTACTCATTATACTTACTGATTGCTGGCATCTGTTAGAGGACATGGACATATTTGACATTCTCTTCCATCATTGTACATACCACGTGGACAGGTTTTAGGTTCTTTAACGCACAATCCAAGCCAAGGACCGTTACTTTGACGTAGATATCCATCAGCGCATCTCTACAAAATGTTATAACAATATATTATCCGTGCCAAATATTTGTTAAGTACTTACCTCGCAAGAAGTACCAGTGTAGCCGACAGGACAAGTACATTCTTCAACGTAAGTAGCAGGTCCTAGACCGACATTAGATAGTCCAGCTGACTCCATTTCGACATTACTAATTGTCGTGTTAAGTTGTCCGTCGTTGTATTGCAGTTTTAGTAAGATATTGTCGACGTCTTCGAGTACCATCATGATTTCTTCTCTAGTAGCCGGTCGTTCTCTCGAACCTACCGATTTTATTAACCACTCTCCTTCGAAGAATCTGACTCGAATATTTTCGTTGGTATTCGGTGCTGGCGAGTGTGTGGATTGATGCAGTAACGTGTACCTGTTGCCCTGCGAAAGTAAAGTGAAATATTTCTTTAACAATTTTACTACAACAGTTATGGCGAAGGTGACGCTAATTTTGACAAGTCAAAGATGACTGCCAACGGTTTTCCTTATGAACAAAACTAGTAGGAACAACGGGGTAATTCATTTTTAAATTACTGTCGCAACAAAAAAACTACTATAATTGACCGTGAAAGAAATAAAAAAATATCAAATAACAATATAACAAGAATATAACAGCAGCAACAGTTGTAAAGGTTTAGGGAGTACCTACCTGAATATATTCCAGATTCTTAAAATTGATCATATAATGGATATAAGCAATAGTACTAATATACAAGCTGAGCTCACGACCACAAAAGAAATCATATTACTTTTCCTGGAGAGATCACAAATTTATTAAGGGGTAGTACTAGAATGTCTTGGTCGAATTATCCATCAACAATGTGGTCACCTTAAGATGAATTAAGGGCCACACGTCACATCGATTCATTAGGCAAGAAGGTAGCCAACCAAATACTTTTTGGACTTTTTGGACTTGAAGTTACCCCAATAACACGACAGCAAACACATTTAACTGTGATTAGATATAATCTGCGCTTGATCAATGATAATTATTCTGCTTCATTGCCAATTACGAATTCATGAAGATGACTGACCCCATATTGTGCAAGGGGTCACGTCAGGATGATGGTACTATCTGGCTTGTCATCTATGTTTGACCGACGTTTCCATCTACCAGAAGATTAATGTATTGGCTAACATCGACAACGTTATTAATTACATAAAAAAGATAGGCTGGTTGATGAACTAAAAGAGGCCTCATCGATTCAGGAAAAAATAACCCACCTTCGCGAACCTTACAGTATAGAAGGAGCACCTACGGACGAACAAGAATGTTTGTGGTTTTTATATTTTAAATACTTACAGATATAATGACGTTGGGTCCTAGAAGCGGTGCCCCTCGGTTGGTATGTTTAATCCAATAATTCAAATAACCTCCGTAACTCTTCAGTTGATTACCGTGATAGTTTTCTGGCATGGCGAAATATGGAATGACGTTGGGTTGGTTGAGGTAAGCGTTGGCTGGAATGGTGGCGTAAACTCCCTGAGGTCCATTCGGTATCAAATTAGGTTCGGAACCAGAATAAACAGGTTCGTCTCGAACGTCGACCGCTCCAGATGGATCGGTACGTACTCCCAAGATTTTATGAGCATCGAAAGGTGGTTGGAACTGAAAATATTGATACTGTATATCCGCACTTTATTTAAATTAGATTGAGTTTATCTTACTTGAAAGGTGAAGAGATCAGCAGATCGACAGTTGCTAGTATGACCGAAACAGAAACACTTAATACATTCTCCTTCGGATCTGGCTTGGACATTGAAGTAACCAGTTCTGCAAGGACTTTCCTGTTTCACGCTTAAGATGGTATCGGGAACGGCGAACGTGGCACCCTTAATGTTGATTGACTCGCAAGAGTAAGCACCTTGGTCTTCGATTTGGATGTTTTCGCAAATTAGAGTTCCTACGCCGTTGACGCTGGATTGTCTGCATTTTGGCGGTACGTGACCCCAATTGAGACGCCATACTATTTCCGGTGTTGGTATGCCGACGGCTGTACAGGATATTTCGAAAATGTCTCCTACATTTAGGCTTACCATCGGAGGTGGAGGTCTGGATATCACTGGTTTTGCTATAATATAAACGTTTTGTTAAATAGATACTATTCATGGGATAGTCACATGATAATTATGAGTACGGACCATAAGGAAATACATAAAGAAACGCATGTTGCACCGAATAGCAGAACAAGAAAATAGATAGACCATGTACTAGTGGAAAAACAATAACATGCTAGATTGGTAAAAGATATAAGAAGCTACAGAGCATCCGATATCGACTCAGACCATATTCTATTGATGAAGACGTTTAGGCAAGAAATCTCAAAAAAGAGGCACGGACAAATATTTAAAATTATGACGTTACAAAACTGAACAATACTGAGTTTGAGCAACAATTCCAAGAAGACATGTCATTAACGTTATTAAATAGTAGTGAAAGAAGTAGCCCAAGAACGACTCGGACATGAACAAAGAATCAGAAATAAAGATTGGTTTGATAAAAACTGCAAACACGCACTAAACAATAGAAATATAGCCAGATAAAAAATGTTTGATATAATAGGAAACAGAAAGAAAACATGTAAAAAATGTATGTAGAAGAAAAAATGAAAAAAAAAAAAAAATGGAGAGGAAGTTACAAGTAATCAAAGAAACAGGAAAGGTGGGAGGAACTTTTAATTAACTGCTCAACGAAGGAGTGGTGGCAGATGAAGAGCACGAGCTTCAAGGTATTGGACATGTTCAAAGGGTAAAAATGTTTATACAGACAGAAGTAAGAGAGTAAGTAAAGAATATAAAAAAAATAAAAGTGCAAGAAGTAATGGTATACCATTGCAGAAACATCCAACCTAGTAAAACAATTTGAGAGTAGGAGGAAGTGGCAAAAGTATAGAGTAGGGCAATAATATATCCTACTTGTAAAAATGGGATGAAGCTAAAAAAGTACTGGCTAATATTATACAAGGTAGACGATGGAATTTTAAAGAAACAGGTGGGCGAGTACTAAGAAGGATTTTAAAAAAGGCAGATCCACCGTAGATGAAATTTTTGTCCTAAAAACGATCCAAAGTAATACTCATACTCATTTGCAGCAACTAAACCTAAAAATGCTTTTTTTCGATTTTAAGCAGGCTTATGACTCGGTTATAAGAGTAGAACCATATGAAGAAATGATTGCACTCGGAATCCCGAACAAATTAATTAAACTCGTTAAAATGACATTGAGGAAAACGGACAAAATAGTAAAAGTGGGCGGTGAACTCTCAAATAAGTTTAAAGTAAAAAAGGTGACTCAAGCAAAGTGAGGGAGAATGTCAGATCGGACGAGGAGGCAAGAGTAAATAGAAGACGAGGACAGGCCAGAAAAAAGTGGATACAGGTCTTAAGGAAGGTGGGAATCTCTAATTGGAACGAAAAAATTTAAAACCATGTCTCTTTAGGGACTTTAGCGCTGTATTATATATACTATACTTACAACATCCTACTTCATCGCTACCGTCAACGCAATCACTCTGCATGTCACAATGGTAACTCTTAGGGATACATTGGTTGTTGGAATGGCAAGCGAATTGGTGATATTGGCAGATAGAGAAAGGTGGATTAGTTGCACAGTTATCTTCGTCAGAACCGTCGCCGCAATCGTCGTCAGAATCGCATCTCCACGTTTTTAAAACGCATTTTTTGTTAGCGCACTGATATTCGTTCGGTTCGCAACCTTCCGGACCTAAAAAAGGAAGTTTTTGCATTACTGGATGAATAGTATTTAAAAAAAAGGGTTAAACTTACGGTAACCGTCTTCGTCTGATCCATCGGAACAGTCAAATTTGCCGTCGCGTACTTTTGATCTTGGAATGCATTCACCGTTGGAACAAGTAGCTTCGTATACTCCACATACTGTTGGTGGTAAAGGCGTTGGTCGGGGTTGTCCTAAAATTTAAAGAAGTGGTTAATATTTTAAAGAATTCAAATTTTCCCAACTTCTCTACGTATTCTACACACTTTTACAATGTCTATATCTCATGAAATAAAGATGATATCAGAAAAGCCTCGAAACCGTTTCTACAATACAAAAAGGCAATTGAAATGACAAGATAGATATTCATATAAAATTCTTTTAAATTGGTTACGATTATCAAATCTGTATCGCACATTGAAGTGAAATTATTAGCAAGTCCTATGATATGAGTTAGAGGAGTTTGCAAAGAACTTTAAAAAGAATCTGACACGTTTTGATAAAATATTAAACAGTCAACTATAAGTTAGCCACAACAGAACTATCTAGAGGGAAGGCGATGAGATCATCCCACCCATTTTCAACCTAAATTAACCTTAGTCAATTTTTTTTAATACGCAGAACAAACTACATTTAATTGCAATAACAAATTCAAAGATATTTCAACTTCAAGACGTGTTTCCAATATTTGTTGATCCATTGTTTAATCCAAAACTAAAAAATTATATTAAAAATTAGGCTAAGCGCTTTCGGTTTGCAAAGCCTTCATCACAGCCATCATCTAGGATATTCACTACATGGGATCATTGACAAGATACATTTGAGTCGTGAATTAAAACAAATCCAGTACATTAAGGTTGGTAAAGGCACTAAACCTAAGTTAATCCCTGTTTAGGTATAACATTAATAATGCTGTATAATATTCTATAAATTATTTAAAAAATCGTCTATACATCATTCCCAGTCTGCTTAAAATAACAAAACCTACAAAGAAAAAATCAGCACCTCAGAGGTAAGGTGTGTTAAGTCACATTTTTCAGAGAAAAGTTTTCTCCACTTTTGGATTGACTATACCAAATTCTATCTATTCGCTCCGTGCGAAGTCATGGAAAGGGAAGCAAAAGCGATACGACCGCTAGCTGCGGATAATTCGTGCATTTTAGGGCGATATTTTGTAATTTTGGCATATCAAATACACGCATACATTTAACTTTTTTTCAAAAAAGTAGGTAAAAACAATACAATAAGCAATCGGAGTTGCTGTGTTGAAAATTGTACAAATACTAGCAAAACAAACAGTGAAACTTATATAAAAAAATTTAAGTTGCAAAGTGGAAATTAAATCAAAGGAATAAATGGATAGGTGTACAATAAGAAGAAAATTACCTTTATTTTTGTGCTGGAAATAGTAGACATCAGAAACTTGACAGGTTTTAAATAAACAATAAATTATCATTTTACGATGTTCTTTAATATTCTTAAATGTTCATTCAGCAAGGACCAGATTTCAAGATTTCTGCCTTTGATTATTATATGTGGCTGGAATGCATTTTTGTGACTGATGGGAAACCAGTTTTAATCATTCATTCTATGTTTACGTTCGAACAAAAATAAAAATATAAATAACGATCCTTTTTTTATACATTTTAACTTCACGCTATTATTAAATGGTATTTTTTTATTTTGACAATGACAACTTATTAGACTTAGGCAACTTCTCATACATTTTCCAGTAAATACTGTTGCCTGCCTATATTTTATTATTGATTTTTATTGATTATATATAATTTTCTTTAATTTAAGCGATAAAAGTATATAATAATAATAATAAATTAATGTTTTACTTGTTTTACAAATCCATATACTTTTATTAAAACTAACATATATACTTTTTAATTACGAATTCTATTAAAAATTGTATTTGTTAGTATACGCAGAAATAGTCCATTAATTTATTCAAAGATTAGTACCAAAACAAATTGGCGCTGCGGTCGCGCACGGAGCGAATAGTAGAATCGCTATCGACACGGAGTATTATATCTGTCAGATCAGGAAATTTCAGGTGTGGGTGCCTATATTATTATTTACGGGGTACATAAAATCATCATTTAAAAATATTTTTTTTTTTGAATAAGTATTATTGATTATTATTTCGGTATGTAGGTACTTTACAAAATGTTTTTTGAGTTATTTGCAATTGTTATGTAAATGGTAGAATTATCTGTTTGAGTAAATTAACAACAAGGGATACAACAAATATTTTTCAAGGCCTATAAATTTGACTATTACGTATACCTACATTAAATTGTTTAAATCATTATTCATCATTAACTTCTTGGACATTTTTGATCTCAAGGTGAAAGTTGATGACAAGTGGAGAGAAAGGTTTCAGCTTAGAATATAGAAAGTAATCTGAGGGTTCAAAATCTATAAATGTGACTATAATTGTATTAAAAATGTAAATGGGATAAATTCTTAGATTATAGAAATCTACAATCTAAGGGTTAATCGTTATTTTATTAATATCTTCTTGGAGATTACTAATGCCATGGAAAAACCAAAATGATAACAAGGGGTAGAATTAGTAGATGATTACCTACCTAGGATTTGGTATGAAGATAAGATAGGCAGTTGAAGTTAGTATCTTGATCAGTTCCCAATATTACCTACCCAGTTTGATTAGCCTTCTATATTATCTATTATAGCAAGAAGTTGTGGTTATTTTCAGTTAATAGTGACAGTAGTATTGAAAAATGCAGTGTGGTTCAAGTTCAAAGTTTACACCTGTGAAACGTATAAAAAAGTTTGCGTTGTCAGTTTACGAGAAAATATTAGCAAGCAGGGCCCCTGCAACTGCGCCTGCAACGCTTGCACCGCACGCGGGCGCACCTCTAAAGGGGCGCCAAACCGGAGGTCTGTATACAATTCGAATTTTTAATTTTTCTAACGATTCCAATGAACAAGGCACTAAGACACTAAAGAAATAAAAAATGTTTTTATCCCAATTCATGATAATATAATCAATAATGTTATCGAAGTTTATGTTCGTTGATATAATGACCTATTCCTATTGTGACAGAAAACATCTATTTTTGAAATCAAATAGCTATTTAATTAGCGTTAATTATTAAATATAATACAATCAATAGGTTAGTTAATTCTGTGTACAACATGCAATACCATGAATACCGTATAAAATATAAACTTGTCGACTGTTCCTGTCGACTCGAATACTGTATGAACGACGAGTAAGTTTCAAATTAAATCTTGTCGATTTTTCCTGTCCAGACTTGAATACTCTATAAACTACGTTTTTCCTGTCCAGACTCGAATATTGTACGACGAGTAAGTTTCATATTAGATCTTGTCGATTTTTCCTGTCTAGACTCGAATACTTTACGAATTACGTTTTTCCTGTCGAGACTCGAATATTGTACGACGAGTAAGTTTCATATTAGATCTTGTCGATTTTTTCTGTCCAGACTTAAAGACTCATCCACAAACCACGAGGAGACCACGAGTATAAATAAAACTGCAGGAGGCGTCGTAATCCAAATAGTTAATATTTTCTTCGGTTACGTGAAGTTCAAAAACCAAGACACAAAGTTATAGTTATAAATATTCGACGGAGTACTTTATATGTTATGTTAATTGTGTTGTAATTAAAATTTATGAAATGGTAAGTACCTACCCACATATTACCTATGTATTTGACTTGATTTTTGCCCGATTCGCCTGTTCCCATTTCGCCTGACCAATTAAAATTTCCCGATTCGCCTGACAAGCTCAAATTGTGGTATCGTTTCGCCTGACCATAACTTGGATGGTGCGTGCTTTTTTTATCAGAAGGGCCATTTTCAAAATATTTTCAAAATAGATGCAAAATTTGATTTATAAGGATGATTGATTTGAAAAAAAAAAAACTGTATTTATTGACATTATTAAGCGTTTTGTACCAGTGTTTTTAAATCAATTATTTTTAAATTTTCTAAATCATCTTGATAATTTTTCCTTTAAATCTTTTTTCATAGATATACTAAGTTCTTTTCTAAAGTAATGTATAGTTGAAATTATTACTGGAGGAATTTTAGTTTTTAAATATATTTTTATCCTGGCCGGTTATTGGGACACATAAAAAATTTCTAAATTCAAATAGTTAATCGCTTACGCTTCGTCAATTTGAAAAAAATGTTTAGTTTTTATTTTACTAACTTTTTACTATACTGGGTGCTCTATATTTTTTGTTTAAATCAAATTAAATAACTATAACATTTTAATTTAATTTTATGTTCATTTCTTATTATTATTTATTTGTTAGTAATAGATTTCTTTACAGCAAATACATATTTATTACCTGAGCAGGTCAGGAGAATCGCAACTATTTTTTTCCGTTAAACATGTAATCGGGCAAAACGCTATCAAAGCGTACCAAATTTCTGCCAGGCGAAACGGGAATATACCTTTGACTTTGACTTACTTCGGCTATTAATAAGATATTGTGGAAAATACAACAGAAGTAATTCAATCCTTTTCACATCTAAAAATCGGGAAATGTGATTTTTTTCCTGTGTGGCAAATTAGATCTAAAAAATATGTTTATTATTTTTTCTGTTAAAGTTTGTGCACTAAAACTTGAATTACCCTCAATATTAAATGCCTTAACCAATTTTTGATCTAGTATTCCTTAATTTCTAGGAGCCACAGAAGAGAAAACTACCTTCTGGTGCAAAATTTCGAGAGCAAAAAAAGTTAGAGTCCAAGAAAGGGAGAAGATGGCTGGCAGTATGAAACATTTCTTGCGCAAAAGTCAAGTTTCCAACACTGAAACGATAGAGGAAGGTGAAATACAGTTTCTGAAGCGGCGGCACCACCATCTTCTGCAACATGTGAACATCATGTCAACATCATCATCACTTATCGAAAATATATTCTCTATAGAGTCGACCATGCCAACAAAGAAGGTTACAAGTGACACTTCTGACGATGAAGTTTCTAAGCGGTGACTGAGAATACTAGTATTCTTATATCAGAGGACCCCGGTTTATGGCCCGGAAGCATTACCAATGACGAAGTCAGAATATTGGTTGACCGTGGTCCTCCTTTGATAGGAAACAATTATCAATTTCCAGCTAATAAAGACAAAGACAAAAGAAAATTTTCAAGTAAGTACTTTGTCAGAAAACTAGAAAATGGA